ATATATATATATATATATATATATATATACGTCTGCAACGTATCCATTCAGGACTCAGCTAAAAGTATGGCCTAAGAGCATTTTTACGCATGCGGAGCCATTTGGAAACCATAGCTAATAAAAACGTGGTAATTATAGTTAATACGCGAGAAAGAATACTAATTAGAAAAAGGCAAATCAACCGAATATTTTGATGTACGATAAAAAGCGAAGTACTGCTGACAGAGGTTGGCATCACTGGTCAGAACAGGTTAACAGCAGTCGAGACCGAGTAAAAGCGGAAGTATTATATAATTGCTAATAAAATCGAGCTAAGGTGAAATGCAAGGCGCAAATAATTTTGCATGTGATGATGTAATGTAGGATGAGGTAGTGACGAACTTCATAAAGATTACGCGAAAGTAATCAGTGTATCTGATCACGTCGAGGCATATGCCCGGTCGATAGTGCTCATGTCCTCGAAAGCATCTCAATGACCAGCGCCGAGGATTCGATGAGGACGAAGCAGCGTAAATCAACACATTCCTCCTGCACTCCAATTGTATTTGCTTTGCGCCCTGATTTGTTGTGATCTTTCTCGCTTCGTCCTTGTCAACTCTACAACAATCATCGACTGGGATGCTTTCGAGCGTCTTCTTGAGCACTATGAACTAGACATATATCTCGACATGGCTATATATAGTGATTTCCTTCGCATAACGTTAATGGAAGTTTGTCACAAACACATACGAGACTATTTTCGTCCTGCATTTCATTTCTCATCTGAGTTTTTAGCCAGTAGATCATATCACCGTTTTGTCTCGGTTTCGACTGCTGTCAACTTGTCCTGACTATATATATAGAAATTTTTATAAAATCATAATTAGACTCGAAACATTTGAGTTGTATAATAACAACACATCAACAAAGAATAAGAAATTGAGCTTATAATTAGAATCATGATGCACACCTCTACTTTTAGCACTTTGTGCAAGGGCTCTGGTACGTGTATCCACTATTACTCCTTTGCTTGTCGATGATAATAAAGATTTTAGAATTGTTTCATCTTCCTTACACCGCCTATTTACAGGACCAATGAGAGGCTGCCCACAACGAATAAGACAGGACTAAAAATGTGTTCATGAATTTTTCAGAAAAAAAAAACCATTCTTGAACTAATTGATAAAGTGCGCTATGAAGAAAATAAAATGAACAACCAATAAACATTACACAACATAAGCAACTATCGTGACTAACTTTGGTTTCTTTGTGATAGAAACTTAATACTGGAAAACGACCACCATCTCGAAAAGTAGCAGATATCCTAAGATAATCATCTCCAATTCCTTTAGGTACAATCACCATTTCAGGATATGAACTACATACCTATTTTACAAGAATATATCACAAAATCACTTTACAAAGTTACAAATCTTGAAAAACTAAACTGACAAACAATTAACTTTTATCACTCATTAATCCAGGTGAACATCAAAGTGAGAACATATTGTTGCATGCGATTTTAGCAATTTATTAAATGCTTCATTTAGTAATACTTTACAGAAAGCAGAATTTTCTTAAAATAGCAAATCTCCAGCTTTTTCTTTAATGAACACATTAAAACAAAGAAATTTTACCAAAAAAGAACTGGAGCGACAAAATGCATATTTTATTTGTAATAATAAAGCCAATAACTGATAGAGAGATGGCATACTTGAAAACCTTTGTTAACAGAACTTATACGCCACCCGTCTTTGCACCGTAACGTCAATTTTGCATATTCTTGTTCGGTTTCAAATGCAGTCCATCCATCATCCAAAACAGTGAAGGGACATCGGTAATAAAATGGGTAGTTACGCTGTATATTTCCTATAAAATATATAAAAATAATTTTAGGTAATCATTTCTAAAACAGACATATTTTCCAGCTTTCCCTCTTAAAGAATGTATCAAGTAAATCACAGATGTCGTAAAATTACAGTTACTTAAACTTATAATGCCCAAACAGCATATAAAATCATTCATAACACAAGCTTGCGCTGTAGTTATCAGACCAATCCTATTACTCTATCACTGATAAATGTTCAACGAACAACTTTTTATCACTTTATAATACAACTTGCTTAGGCTTGACAATTTTTCGATTGACCGTGCAACAGCAGTACAATCATCCAGATCTTCCATATCAAAAATACATATCATAAAGTTTTTGCATTTTAAAATTAATCTGCCAGCACGGCTTGCACCATCTTTTGAAATCTGCTCCACTGTAACACGATCTACAGCACGATGAAGTAGCTGAAACTGTTCATCACATATATAAGAGCAACATCGATAGTGAACACCAATCCATTCAATTCAACTCTTAAACTTGGTACGAAGGATAGGTAACAGTTTCAAAATGAAAATTTCTCTCTTCATAAAACCTACGTTTTACTTTGTTAACTCTGCAGAATTCTAATACACTTCATCCATCATAACTGCACTTCCTTTGGTTGTAAATATAATTGATGTTATAAATGGGGCAAGTGATGAAAACGTCAGTTCAATTTAAGAGGTACCATGTACTTATTCAGTATTTAATGCTGTTAGCTTTATTAATATATAAAGCTGTGATATATCAAAATGAAGAATTCTTGTTTTTGTTTAAATTTAACTGCGACATGATTTTAGTGAAATTGATGCAAACAATATTCTAACTGGTGTAATAAATTAACCTATAATCTTGGAACTATGGCTTTCTTTTCTACTTCTTAGAAAAGATTGTGAACTGAAGAATGAATTACTAAGAACAGAACTACTCTCACTGGAAAAAGTATCAGTGTTCTCCATTAGAATCAAATTATAGCTTATTATTACCCACAGCTCATCGTTGTGCTTTTTTCCATCTGTAGAGTCTACTGAAGTAGGAGCTGGAGAAAAAATCATATGATGACCAATCAAAGCCAGTGAACCCAACTGTGGTTGTCGAGGACCTTTCCGCAAAAATACATTGTTTACACGTGAGCGCTCAATTACATCCGAAAATTCCATAACCCTAAAATTCTGAAATGTGTACTTATATTTGAATTACAGCATAAAATCTGCACCTTTTTTTTTCATTATATTTTAATTGTTATAAGCATAATTTGAGAGGCTACTTTAATTGGGTAAAGCTGTAATACACAAGAACCTTCCAAATAATTTGTTGTTATTCATGCTTTCACAGAATGATCATCACTCGTCTGGTAAGGTATATAACCGTTTTAAAGGATATAACGACCAGATGAATGTTATAGGCACTGTAGTGGTTTATTTAATTCGAGAACGTAAATTTAGACGCTAACGGAACGGAACGAAACAAAACAGATAGGTTTGGTTTTACTCAATTCAAAACGATATCACAACCAGCAATATTTTATCCACGTAACGTAAAAAATGTTAACCAGCTTAAATGGAGAAAGAAGTATTAGCAAGTGAAGTTTATCTTCAACTTGAAGAAGTAGCATTTGGAGAAGAACATAAGAAGGAAAGATAGAGTAAAACTAAACCTATCTGTTTTGTTTCGTTCCGTTTCGTTAGCGTCTAAATTTACGTCACCGAATTAAATGAATTACCACAGTGCCTATAACAAGGTAAAGACGATTGACTCACAAAATATCACTGTTGAAGAAATGCACGGAAACGAGGATATTGTTGACTTATTGCCACTCACTACTGAATACACATTCTCTGTAACAATAAATACTTCATCGAAATGAATTAGAGAAAGTAAGTAATTACTGAGGAAACTTACACATCCTGCCATCATTCCTATCAATGCATTCAATATTCGACATATATAGATAGACCTTCATAATTGTCAACTTCTAGTCAGGCTTGGAGGTAGTTTGCTAAGAGACGTCATTTGGCAATTGCTGCTAGTGCACATTTATTTTGTTGAGATATGTGTGTATGCGCGTGTTCTTTGGGTTTAACTTTCAAGGTTATGTGATTGCCAACATAAATGCTTATCAGTTTTCGATAAAAATGAAAAAGAAAAAGCAAAATAGATAGACATAAGTGCAGATAGCTCGTTCATCTATGAGGTAATTACTTGCCGTTCATCACTTACCAATTGTAATAAGCGGCAGTAACGTGCATGCATGTATGCATACTTACGCAAACATAAACACATTGGAAAAACGGTATATAAATGAAGTCTCAGTATTTTTTATGACTTTTTACGTCGACAAAGTTTCTGCAGCACGTGGGTAATATTCGTTATCTTGATGATACGATTTGCAGCGTCATCTGTAGTGAATGTGCAAATCGAGTAGTGCGAAAAAAAAACAAATGATGGTAGTGATTCAGTATCCAGCTAAAGAAAGCATTTCAAAAGTTCAACTTTTGATTAAATTTCAGGTGATGTAATATGCTATCCCCTTGACAGAGATACGTGGACAATTTTGAATCAATTATAATCAGTTGTCAATAGACAGAAATAATCATACAGCGTGTTTTCAGTACAAGATTTTTAGAAGTGATTTGCTTTAACAGATGTTACTAATATCCTGTTATCTATCATACTGCTTTTATGTACTGAATTATGAAATGTCTCCAGCAAAAGCCTGAGCATTTGGGACTGCGGAATAATAGTAAGAATACTGAAGAAGTCTGTGCATATCTGTTAGCATTAAAATTACACATAATATTTAACTACTGGAATGTTGTGAACGGAATATAATTCGACTGTTAGTACGTGCAATGTGGTCAACAAATTTGCAGCATTCAATAGAAGGTATCAATCGGTGAGTTGAATTGAATGTTAACACTGCTACACTGTCATGCAGACGCGGTCAAAAACGAAAGCTGAGAAAGAACGTTCCACGAACTTCATGTGCGGAGTTGTTGAAGGTATTTAAAGAAGTTTTAGTTATAGTATCACATGATATTCATTATACTGTATAAGCAATACATTGGTAATAGTTGTGCTTAATTACAGTTAAAAAGATTTTAAAACAGGATTCTATGGTCGACCATGGACAGCAGATCAGCGTAAAGACCTATTTGCACGTATGAAGGGTCTAGGGCTTAATACTTATATTTATGCACCAAAAGACGATCTGAAGCATAGAGCTGAATGGAGACAGCTGTATAATTCAAATGAAATAGGTTGGTGCTTTTTGATCCGTATGCTAGTGAATTTTATTTTATATAATGAAGCAAGGTACGTTGTGTACTTTCAACTTTAATTAAACATAATTATCACTGCTTTCCAGAGCTCTTAAAATCCTTGATTTCATCATCAAAGATGGAAAATATCACTTTTGTATACGCGCTTTCTCCTGGAATCGACATTATTTACTCGAGTGAAAAAGAAATGAAGGCTTTGCATGATAAGTCCGAACAGGTTAGTGTTATTTTCTGTTTCTCTGTGCAGTAAAATGTTGAATTATTTCAAATACAATTTGTTTCTTTAGAACTTTTTTTTTTAATTCATTGAAATTCAGTTGCTTGAAACTGTTAATAACTAATGAAGTAGTGTAAATGTGCTCAATTTTGTTTAACTTTTCCATAATTTACCATTTTGTAGGTACGCTGTTTAGGATGCGAAGCGTTTGCTCTGTTGTTTGATGATATTGATGTAACATTAAATGATGTTGACAAGAAACAATTTTCATCAATTGCAGATGCACAGTTGACTGTTGCAAATTCGCTCTATAATTTCTTAAAATGTCCTTATTTCTTCTTTTGTCCGACAGGTTACTAATTTTTTCGTCTTTTTTTCTAGATTGCATGTTTCATTGACTCTGACTTTAGGAAAAAGTATTTTATAGCTATTTAACTGTTTTGTGCTTTGTTTATAGAATATTGCGAATCACGCGCGAATCCTTCTCTGGAAAAATCAGAGTATCTTCTTACAGTTGGTAAACTGCTTACAAGTGACATACATATTTTCTGGACGGGTTTGTTTCCTTTGCTAAATTTCTGTGATTTGTTTTCTGTGCTGAAGTATATTTGAAATTTTAACACTTTTTGAAAAGAAGTCGAGATTAGAAGTTATTTTAGTTTAAGAATAAGCTTGACCTAACGACGATAGAAAAAATGGTCCTTACCTCTCAACTTTTTGATAAAACTTCGATACTTCACGAGTTCTGGAATTCAATATTGTTTTAGTCTCATTGTTCTTTAAAAGTCACTTGTTGATTTTTAAATTTATGAATGAAGTAATGTGAACTAACTTGCTGTGTTCCAGGACCTCGTGTGGTATCTCGTGAAATTACAGTGGATCATATTCGGCGTGTTACAGCCGTACTTCAGAGAAAACCAGTCATTTGGGATAATCTGCATGCTAATGACTATGATCCTAAGCGAGTTTTTCTGGGTCCATTTTCCGGAAGGTATAGTTTGTGCATAGAAATTAAAAAATCATCTGTTATTATTTTGCTTACTTTTAAATTATCAATTTTTGCAGAACAGTAAAACTAAAACAGGAGGCTGCAGGAATTCTTTTAAATCCAAACTGTCGTTATGAAGCTAATTTTTTACCACTATACACGTTAGCTGAATGGAATAGCTGTCATGAGGATGCTGAATTAATGGGAGGTATCACTAATATTGTCATTTCTCTTGAGAGTTCTGTTTGGTGCCTAATTTTCACTACGTTGTATTTTCTTTTGTCACTTTATTTTGTTAAAATGGTTATATTCTCGTACTGTTCACCATATGAATGCTTCTGTGTCTGTTTTTCATTTTTTAATATTGGAGAACTGCAAATAGACTTCTCTAATGAATGCAATTTCATGACAAAGAAACAAAAATTTCAAAAACATCAGTTTGTATTTGTTATATGCTTGGACCTCAGTGAGTCTTATCAGATTTAGAGTCGAACTCTCGGTCAGAAGTCGATGTTGTTTCTGTTGCAACACATATGGTTGGAGATGATTTATCAAAGCAGTTGTATAATCCTGTAAAAGCTCTTGATGAAGGCATTAAAAAATGGATAAAATATTTGACTACTGAATCTTCGAGCAATATTTTTTCGTTAGTTGATTATTTTTCCTGCTTCATTTTATTTGAACAAAATTTGCTGCTTTCAAGAATGAATATGGAATTGTTTTCTGTTTTTCTTCTAATGAAAAGTAATGTATTTCAGATTATCTCTTCATTTTGACGAATTAAACCAAAGTAAGCCATCAACCAGTGGTGTTTCTGTAGTTGCACAAGGACTGAAAAATTTGGAAAGTAATAGCGATCAAAAATCATCTGTTTCCTGCAATACGAAGGTTATTTTGTTCGCGTGGTCTTCGAATTTGTAATGAAAACTTTTGGATTTACTAAATCTTGTTGAAAGATAGAACGAATCTTATGTTAGCATGAAAATCCTATAAATTTCACATTTTAAATTATTGTATCTTTTATGCAATTGTTTTTAGAGTACACTGGCAGAAGCATTAAATCTAATAAATACTGAATACAGCGAACCGATGGATGTCATATGCGTCAATAAGGTATTTCATTATCATTGTAATTGTTTCATAAAATTGTGTTGATTACATTTTTTGGCTTCTAACGTTTTGTTGATTTTTTCAGGATGACGTAAGTTCTTCATTAGAAATATCTGATCAAAATGAAGGGAATTTTCAAATGTCCAAACTTCCTGAAGATGTTAATATGGGCAGTAGTCAAGGCTTCAATTCTGGAACTAAGTACTTTTTACTTTGTTCCTTTTTTTATTTTAAAGTTCCATTGAAAACTAGCTAACAAAAATATATTAGATGTTCTATTTAGGAATTCAATTCAAAAAACAAATAATAAATCTAAAACTAAGTTATCATAGAGTTATCGGAGAGGAACAAGTAGCCGTTTTTGTTGATATGTTTTATTTGCCTTTTGAACACGGGCGTCGTGGAATTCAGATGTTGCAAGAGTTTTCTTGGCTTTATGAGAATTCAAAAAAAAAGGAAAATAGTAATGGTAATGATCAGGTCAGTATTTAATCTTCATTCTCAAAGCAATCATTATTTCAAATTCATTGACATTAATCACTGAATGATTCTATCAAACAAAATGTCATTCGAAAAGACTTAACTCTTCAGCAGTATTTGTGAAACAAAGAACTAGCTCATTCAGTGGGATTTGAATTTTGATCATATGTTAGTTCAGTATTATCAGTTATTAAAGATTCATTATTGTAGGAATTTCAGGAGATTCAAGAATTGGTTAGCGATGAGTGGAGGCGTAGATGTGCAGATTTTGTAAAAGTTTTACGTGATGTAATGAGGCTTTATCAGCGAATTACTCATCTCCCTAATCGAGTTCGTTATTTTTACAGGAAGAAGGATTTCGCCAAATATTTATTCTACTGGATTCAATAATATATTTATATAATATATTGATATATTATTGAGTCCAATAGAATACTTTAACTTTCACATTGTTGCAAAAACAGTGCTTTCAAAATATGGTAAAAACCGTACTTTGAAAAAAGTTTTATGATTCATATTCATAATTTCATAAAAGATTTTACTCTAGTAGTTGATGGGAAGTATTTCAAAATGTGACGAAGATTATATACTGCATATAAAATTATTGTTAATGTGTTCTGGCAGCATATGAGTTTTTGGAAATGAGTCTCATGAAAGGATTTTGAGTTTACAGAGCGCTGTTCACGAACTATTTCAATACATATATGATGCTCAAGGTATAATTTCTCTCCTCGAAGCTCTCGTTCTTTGGATGGCCGGTGGACATTTTAATGTAGCACATGTTGGTTCGTTATTTCAAGTGGTCCAGAACTTTTGGAAAGTAATTTCTTTGTATCACTTGAATATGTGTTATTATAGATTTCGATTGTTTTTGCCGCAATGATTTCCCTGATGTTGAACCATGGACGTTGTCAGGTGGATTCTTAACTGACTTGCAAAAACTTCTATATTCAAATAACAAAATGGCTGACTTATTCCTTCTAAAAACGATGTTACCGTTTTCTATGAATTGGTATACTATTCGGCCGTATACGAATAATGATTTGGTATTTTTTTTTAAATAAAGTAACCGGAATAATAAAACTTCTTATTCACATAATATTGCTTAATATGCATTTGGTATTTTAAATCAGAGTTTTAATTAAATATTATTGCGTTGTCATCGTTTTAAGTGTCTATATTTCATGCTATCAAAAATTCCTATGCATATATTTTTTTTAGCATAGCATTGACTGTGTGTTGAAAATGGACGATAATGATGTATACAGTATGGATATTTCAGATGAAGTGAAAAATGAGTACTTTTTCGACAGGTGAATGTTGAAATTATGTTTCTAGATAATTATAGATTTAGTTATCACATACAGTTTGTGGTTTTGTTTTTAAGTTTCTAGATTTTTTCTAGTTTGTTCCTATATTTTATTTGTGCAGTTTTTTTGTCTTCTAATAAAATTTTACTCATTTGTTTGTTATTCTTCAAGAAAATGGATTTTTTAAAAAGATTTTTTAGATACATTAATGCTTATATTAAATTTGCGACACCAAGGACTTGCTTCGTTGCAGCAGAAAATGATGGAGACGGAAATCCTCGGCAAGTAATTGCTGTAGTATGTGCTGCACTTAATGCGAAACAATTCGCTGAAAAGGTTAATAGACCACTATATTCTGAAAACTCGTACCATGACGCTTGACTTCTTTCACTGAAGATTGAAAAATGAGTTGTATGGGCTATATCGGAAAATGCAATTGAAGTTAACACTAAATTAATTGTAAATATTTAGTTAAATACTACGTTTTATAGGTCCGGGAGCTGAATATTTCAAAAACTTGCAAATACCACTTTTTTCCAAAAGGAAAAAAGAACAGTCAGTTTGTTACATTGAGCATTGAGGAAATTGAGCATCAGGTAAATTAGAGTCACTTAATATCTCCTGAATGCTCATCAACTTTTGATTTGATTATAATACCGCTGCGTACCATTAAATTCATTCAATAATTTTTTCAGAATTTTTGCATTCTTACCATTAAAATCAATGCGAAAGTAAAAAAGGGTAGTCGGTTTTTGCAAATTAAAATTACAATATCAATCACATCGTGACAAACTGAATCTGTTTGATACTTTGAAAATGCAAAGCCTCGCCATTGTTATTTTTGTAGATTTAATTCTAATTATATCTCTGTAATGGCAGACTGGGTAATTTCTGCTCTTGACTTTTTGCATGCATTTAAGTGGCAGCATTACTGTGAAGATATGGTTGATTGGAGTACGCTCAGTTTTTCGGATCACTTCTATGAGCAGTTCCCGAGTCAGGTCATTGTTCGTTTGAATTTAGATTATTTCTGTATTAGAATATGTGTGTATTTTATTTGTCTGAAAATTTCTAATATGCGATAATTTCATTAACTCAAAATTATTTTAGATTGATATAAGATGTCGTGATTTATCTCGGGATGCCGTTGTTTTTCGTAGGCTGATAATCGTTGCAACTATTGCTTTATCTTATAATGGTAAGCTTTAATAAACTTTTTCAAATTTATTGACTGTGAAATCTTCTCAAAATGATTTGCTTAAGTATTCAAAAATAATAGTCCGATATAAATATTTCATTCATTGACAGTGTTGTTGTTAATTTTTTATAAATTCAGTTATCAGTAGAAAGTGATCTAACATCATCGGAGATGTGAAAATTACTTTTCGTTCTTTTTTTTGCTTATGGAATTTTTAGATTTGCTAGCATTTATGGTTGAACTACTCAATCCAATCTTTCATTTATTTTTGCAGGAGTTTTATTTTATTTTATTTAATTGAAAGTACTCATAATATTAGTATTCTATGATTTTGTGGTGCTTTTGTTTTAGGCTCATCTGGCTTTTTTGTGGTGTTAAACTCATCAGACAATGCAAAAATTAATTTATTTGCAACAATAGGTTTAACTAGATTAAAGGTGAGGTTATTTTACATCTTAATGAGTAATAATTTTATGTGAGAAATTGATGTTTAAAAACTTTTCATTTGCATTCTGTAAAAAAATATTCATGCTTATAGTACTCTTGGAATTACATATATGATATTTCACTTTAATTGCAGGAAGCGGGTGTTCCTGAAAATCTAACTTTAATGGGTCATTCGTTATGACTATCATTTTTACTTTGCTCACTATGCTTTTTCTTTTTTGGGTATCATTTAATTTGATGCAGTTAAACTTGTACCAAATTATAAATCAAAGCAAGTATAGTTTCACATTCTCTTTAAGTTTTACTGTTTTTTTGATTACATGTCCCAAAATAATATGAGATAACTGCAGTAAACAATCACATATCTTTGACTATCATATTAACTGAAGTTCATCTTTGCAATGACTTGAAAAATCTTTTTCTTGCGTAATGTCTGTCTTGTTTGTTTATTTGTTGAAGACACATTACTGTGATTATCTGTCCATAAATGATTCATTACAATGAAATATTCCTTATTTGATTGTGTTAACAGTTAAAGATTTTTTGATGTATCGAATGTGGTCATTGCTGATTTAATTGTACTTTCCATATTTGTGCTTCAAGTTTTTTTTTAAATTAAAATTCACTTCTAAGCAGCAAAGAAATGATTTCTTGCTATTTTTTGCTACAGATCTGTGTCCTTGGTTGTATCTTACGTAAGTTCTTATTCGGTGTTGCTTCTTGTTTATTCAGGTCTGTAATTTACTACAGTAAATAAAAATTAGTCTATTCGAAATTTTTTCATTTATCTTATATTTTTGAAGAATTACGCACAGATAAGTATGAGTAATTTATTCGACTTGTAGATAGTTATAAATTCTAAAATTTCGTGACATTTTGGCAGTGGGGTTACAGATATAGTTTTTTCCAGTACCATTATTCCGCGGTGAAGAGACTTATGAAGGTTTTAGATGTCCTATGAGTTCTAGTAACTCACATATTACTACTATAACCGTCTAGTAATTGATTTTCTGATTGTTTTTTGGGTGAGAAGTGGTTTGATTTGTGTCTATCATTATATCACATGGCAGCAACATATAAGTAGGTGTGTATTTTATAACTTGCTCAAATTGAAATGAATTTTTATTTTCGTAAGTACAGCAAACTACATGAAGTATCACTTATATCGAGTTAGTAATGGTGGTAATACTGCTTCATTAAAATTCACGAAATTATCCTAACTAGTAATTGTTCAGTGAAACTCGACATTTCTCTATATTTGATATGTTAGAGAAAATTATTGTATTCAATTTTAGATCGTGCTTGTAGTAGTTACACTAGGCATAAAGCATATGTTCTCTAGTAGTACGTAAAATCTTGATAATTCTGTAGTGATGTGTGATTTGATAAATGGACAAAGATAATGCATGAATGAAGAGTTGATTAAACAAATAATCAAGCAAAAAAAAAAGGCAGAAAGGAGATTATGGAATAGCAAATACTTCCAAAAGCAATCTATGTCCTGTTTGATCATGTCTTAAATGGCCGTTTATCTTAGTGTTGTTTGCCTAGGACTGTAAGTTTTTTCTGCAATATCACTTGTTGAAGTTAACTTTTTCTATAAATTAGTGTATTTGCTAGCTAAAAATGTTTTTGTAAACCCAATAGAAATATCATTTGTGAGGATTCTTTTTTTGTTTTCGGCAACTAAAGTAACTTATAATGATAAAATTAAATATTATCGATATATTCTATTGTTTTTTAGAGATCAGTACATACATTCATGGAATCCACTAATTTTACTCCATTTTTTTATTTACGCCTGCATTTGGAAATACATTTTAATTTCTATCTTGTTGTCATATTTATTAGAGTTGTTTTCATTCCTCTACATATTGATTTGATTTATTTATTATCATTATTATTAATTATTAAAATAAAAAATATGCAGATGCCATCACTTAAGGAAAATTTATTCATGTTTACTGTATTCACACAAATTCGACAGCAATATTTGTAGGTGTCACTTGTCATTTAACTTTTGTATATTTGCTTATTAAAACTGTTCTTTAGAAATGGTATCGAAACTTACTGCTAAATAATGGATCAATAAACAGTAATTTCATATCAGTAGCTCATTTATCGTATAGAATTTTTAAAGAAAAATGTTGAGTTTTTCTTGGTGTTTCATATTTCCTTTATCAATGATCATTCTAGCGGTATGCTTGAAATAATAATGATACACAAAGATCAATACATTTATTCATGTAATTCATAAATTTATGCTTCTCTAAATTTTTACCATCTTCTGAATCTTCTTTCTCTAGCACCTGTTTTTTTCTTCTTTCATTAGATTCTAAGTAATAATGATTTTCAACACATCCACTCTTTTCTTGTCTTTTTTTTCCTTTTTATTTCAATCCGCACATACAATGTAGCAAAGATTCTGAGATCAGCTCTAGTAATAGTTTCTACGAAATGAAAAAAAAAGAATTGACGTGAAAATGTTTTGAACAGTAATATTAACGATGACTTAGATCAACGCTTTCATCGTTTCTTAAATAATTATTTCTTACAAGAAGTCGAAAAAATAACAATATACTTAAGCATGCTCGAGTAAAGCCTGATTCTCGCAATAATTATCTAGCCAGCAGTTAGTATTCTGAATACTGTACTTAAAATCCTTAAAAATCCTTCTCGGAAGCTATCCGACAAAAAAGCGTAAAGTATCGGATTTAGACAAGAATTTGTGTAAGCTAGAACCTGAAAATAATAAGTCAATAAGAGAGATTACAGTAACGTGCGTAAGCATTATGTTCTAATTTTTTTAATGAAAGTTTAGATCATTTAATCTTCTGGTGATAAGCATCAAATAATGTTGATACAAAAAAAAACTGTACAATACACTCTGCTTGCATTTCAATAGATGTCTTACATGACTGTTTAGAAAGTTTAGAGAAGTAAAAATTGATAACCAAAAAAGTCGAATTTTCATCAAAAAATCTGATATTTTGATCTTATAGTTTTGATTTGCTTATCACAATCGATTTTTGATTATTATGCAATGAATTATTAAAAAAGATACCAAACTTTTAATATCAAATTAATCCGTTGTATAAAATAAATTAGATGATATAAATGTTAAGAATTAACCTGGCTAGAAATTTGAGCAATTACCATTGGTTTACCGCCTTTTGTAACCAAAGTATCTGGATAGAATATGCCTGAAACAAATTGCATTAAAATTTTAAATAGTTAATATTTTTTTTATTAGATAATTTGTTATAATTATCATAAGTAAATAAGAGTTAACAATTAATTCATTTATTATACTAAGAGAGTTTATGCATTCAGTGAAAAACCTTGAAATCATACCTGAAAATAGGAAGCAAACATTAAGTGGCAACCAGCAAAGCGCCCAAATAATAACAACACACAGTACTAAGCGAGTAACTTTACGTTTTGCACGCAATGTTTCTGGTCTTATTTTAATTGTTTTTGACACTGGCTAGATGTAATGAAATGAATAAAAAAACACTCAGATATTAATAAATTTTTTAAGAATAGTTAAAGATGATGATCGAATCAGCTACAAGCTAAAGTAAAAGACACCACTCGTTTACTGAATCCATGTACCTATGTACATGTAGTCATGATGCATCAGAAATGAGGAGATATAGAAATAACTATTCACAGAACTTAAGCTATCTATCTATCTATCTATCTATCTATCTGTCTCCATTATGTGTACACTTAAATCATTTTACTATTTAATTATTTTGAAGTCTTTTTAGATCGTATAACAGTGGGAATTTTTTTTTGTCTATTGAAATATACAATATTCATACAAGATTGTAATGAATTTATGCTTTTGCAAAATATATGCAGTCCGTACCGATTGTTTGACACGTTGCATTGCTGGCGTGCACCATAATCTCCGTAACATGAAATAATATAAAACGCAAGTTAATCCCAATGGTAATAAATATCCAAAAAGATTAAATGAAAAGTAGTAACATCTCGCCTACAAAACAAGCATCTACTTTTAACAAATTACGAGAAAATAACTGCTTTACAAGCATGAAAATGATCAAATTTTTGCATGCACTTAGTCTTAGTCTCATGATAATAATGAAGTTATAGCATATGACTACAATTATACTTTCATATTATAGAAGAAAAATTTTTGAAGCTTTCTAAAATTCAATTCCTTCTCACATTAAAAAAGTTCACGTCATGACCTTTATTCTTAAGCCTACAATCTAAAATTAAAACTTTTAATTTGCGAATGTAGCAGTGAGAAACGAGAATTATTTGACATCCCTTTGTTATGGCGAACTATGGATAAGCTTTTGATTACAATCAATACGACGCATTACACTATGTCTAATATTTCATTTCCGTTGAACTGAATGCAGCTTCTTCTTATAACGATAATTAAATCAAAATCACGCATGTCTTGATTGGCAATTTCTTAAATTTAATATGTACTTCTAAGAATGAAACCATTTCGCATAATCAGGCTTTTTTTTCTTTTCACAGAGCTTTGCTATATCTTTTTGTTATTTCTCACATTTTATTCTGCAAGTTATTCTATATTATATGAGAATTTGATAAGTATAGGTTAATCTGACAATTATAAATCAACCTGTAATCTGGTCGCTTTACCGTTTGCAATACTGATTACTGCACACGTAGATCTCTTCTCAATAATAAAATCGTAAACGAAGATATCATGAACAATAGCTATCGGTATTTGACTAATTAATATGACTGTATATACAACAAGTATTGTTGTCATCGTATTCATTGGACTTCTCAACGTCATACTACTTACAGGGAAACATACAGCTAGGAAACGGTCAAGAGCCATTAATGTAAGTGTCCAAACGGAGAAATAAGCGGATGAGTGCTGCAGCAAAAAAAGTAAGGAAGATTATGACAGAATAAAATGTTTACTTACTATTTTGATTGAACCAAAAGAATACTTTGACAAGAAAAGTAAAGGAAGTACTAGGCAGAGGTAGATCAGCTTTCCTAGTTCTAAAACACTTTAAATAATTTTATTTTTTGTATTTGGCAGTGTATATTTTTGCTACTGCAGTGCTGTTCTTAATTGTTTCAAAGAAAACAAATGAATGAATTCAATTTTTAAATGATAAAACAATTCATTGATAAAAAGTTTTGTATTTATAAAAGAATTCATACTTGAAGATAATTGATCATTGAGCACATCCAGCGTGGGAATAGCCATACAGGTGAAGCGTAATCAATGGCCGTGAAAGGAACGCATAACGTTAAAAACATCAAGTCAGAACAAGCGAGACCTTTAAATTATTAAAAATAGTTTTAAATGATTGATTTTTTTTCATGTAATAATCTTTTTATTTTGGCTAAAGTAAGCGCAGTAAAAGTAAGTTGACATATCTGCAAAATTACTGAAAATATTTTATATTTTAGCATTCTCTGTTTACCTAAAATTTTATTGAAGCATTAATTACTTATATACGATAATGCCCTGTCATGATCAAATGAATACTATCTTATAGCTTCTCGACAATTGAATGAATAATATTTCAAAACTATTACAATACATGTTCCTATAATATACATTACTACCTTAATAAGAGATAATAAGTTCAAAGTTTCAAACAAGTATTCACAAATCACAAACTTTCAATATTTTATTATCTATATATGAATGAAAGTGAAAATATGTAGTTTTACAACTATCTTTTACATAAATTTGATCTCCTTTGATTATATCTTTTTCTACTTTCTTTTTAAGTACATCGTTTAAACATATATGCAAATTAAATGATACAAGTGGCATATAGACTTCAGAAATCAAAAAATTTAAGGGTAGAAAGAAATTACCTATAATTAATGTGTTAGTACTATCAATCATCTGTCGATTAAGTGCCACAATTACTACTAATAAATTACCAACTAAACCAATCACTACAACACATGCAAATATTGTTGGTATAACAATTCCAATAGTTGATTCAAATTTCGTTGTCTCCTCATAAAGTTGCATCAATTTCAGCGGAAATTTGTCTGATGTGTTATCCAGTTGTGACATTTTATGTATAATTTCTGAAAAGAATAACCTTTATCTATATTCCTTCATTAAATCCTTCCGAAAAAATGTTTCGGAATACTCAGGCTTATATGAAATTGCATCGGTTTTCTTGGTTTTCTTCTTTACCGAAATTATTTCAACTTCAGCAATATTTAGCAAAACTTCTTTTTTATTAGCTTCGCTGTATGATTCTTTCAACAAAAAAAAAAAAAAAGAAAAAAAATGAAAATAAACAGAGCGTTGAAGTTGAAAAAAATGTGTAAAATCAAAAATGTTAAATGATGAGATTATTCATGAAATCATGACAAAAAATTCAATTATTTAAAGAAAAGTTTTTTAAGAGTTTTGATGATAATTAGAAATATCAATAAATTATCTTTTTTTGCCTTTCAAAAACTCTAAAATTTAAAAAGTATTTCAACTATTTTGAACTTTTTTGCTGAAAAATCTTTGATAAAATTCATTCATGATTAAACAAGCAGTAAAAAAAAGCAAACATTTTAATTAATTATTATCAAGTAACACTAAAGAAGATAATAATTTTACTTTCAAAGAATGAAAACTTTATTAAATATTTGATAATCATCAAAATATACATGCATAATTTTTTCAAAAAAATTTTAATATAACACAATTAAAGAAACACAAAATAATGAAATCAATGATAGAATTTTTTCATCATAAAGTTTTCTCAGCATATCAAGCAAATTAAGAGGTATGAGAAAAAGTAAACTAAAAGCTCAATCACTTTGCTTAATCTATTCATCCATGTATCTCTCTTGACTTAATCCGTAGCAAATTTGTGTAAGTTATCTTTGCATTCAAAAATTATTCCCATATCATCTTTTTACTTGCAAATGTCTTCATATTTTAAAAACCAATAAAAAATTGGAAACTATTTGACTTCCAAAGCATGAAAATCATTTGAGTGCTATTAACATAAGCTCTGATGTACGTATTCATGAATATCACAAGCATAAATAAGCGAGAAATTGACGAGGCTGAATGCATGCTCAATAAAGTATTATGAAAGTGAATATAAAAAATTTTTTAAGTTTTTTTCTTATTTTTTATTTTTATCATATACATAAAAATTGGTAAGCAGCTATGACACTCATCTTTTCATAAAAATAAATCTTCAGCTTTTTTTTCTTCATGATATGATATTTCAATCTGTAATACCAGCTTTTTTATGACTGCAGATTTTAATAAAAAATGTTAATTGATAATTAAAATCCTTTAAAAAGCTATATCTTAACTTAGCCATATGACAGTTGCCGCATATAAAAAGCTGCATAAACTTGCAAAAAATAAATGAAATTTTGACGATACATGAAGTAATGACAATGAAACGAGAAGATGATACTGATAAATCGCAGTTACTACTTTAAATTCCTTATCTAATTCTATATCCTCAAAGTAAAGATAGAAAAGGAAATATAGCAAATAAAGTGATATATTTGGAAAAAGCAAATATATGCTTAAGTATTTCTTTATGTTTAATTTGTCCTGTATCTATCTTTTTTAGTATTTGAGCAATGGAAAAATATTTTGAAGTATAAAATGTTAATTAATTAACTGAACGATTTCTTTTTGTTGTTTTTTAGTACTGATTTGTAGCAGCTGTTGTTTAATATCTTCCTTTTCAAGTACCATAAAATTACATAGGTTGAAGATGGAATCTGAAGGTTTTTGCTTAGCTTACATTTTTGTCTTTACTTCATTCAGAAAGTTAATATTTTGTGCTTACTTGCTTCCTTTTAAAAACGATACTTATTTCTAATTTTCCTAATTTCAAACAATCAGGCTCTATTTGAAAAATGTTATTAGATGAGGTGAATGAAAAATGGAAGCATATTTGTTGTTCAATTGCATATTGCATCTTTTATGCTACAAACTTTTAATACCGTAATATTTTGTGATAGTTAATTTAGGTCTTCTTGAAGCGAAACATTCATGACATCCTTTTCTTTCTGGGTATTAATAAATCTGGTATTAATAAACTTGTAGATATCACATACTTTAAAGTCCTTTTAGAAAAATATATCTCAAGCTATTGAGAGCATTGTTCTAACTACTAAACAAACAAAACAGCACGCAGAATCATTTCATTGCTACGTGCAATCAAAGTAAAGAATCAACTTTCTTGTTCCATAAGTTTCATTTCAATCCACAGATTATTTTAAGTTTTATGTTGTTAATCGATCTTAAGTAATTTATGCTTTTCTTTTCTGGGATATTAATAAATCTGATATCAATAAACTAGTCGATATCGCATACTTTAAAGTCCTTTCAGAAAAATATATCTCAAATTGAAAGCATTGTTTTGACTACTAAGATTTGCGTAAATAAAATTTACACACTGATTATTGTTACACAAGAACATTACTTAAATAAGAATCTAAATTAATAAAAATAGTAAAATAGAGCTATTTTTTTTTCAAATTATTCTCTAAAAGAAAAAAAGATGAAAGACAAGGGAAAAGAAAATGTTGTAAGCTCTGAAATTTAATAAATGATTCTAAAAACTCTTTTAAAGCGAACGAGAAGAGGTGTTGTGCAGAAAATGAAATATTGAAAATATGATGTTGAGATAAATTAAGCCTTTTTTGCTTTCTGTTTTTAATTAAATGATTCCGATAGAAAGCTGTTGAAGAAGCAGTGGTAATCTTCTGAAGGAGGAAGGAATTGAGTAAATTCAGGAAAATTGTAACTCTGTGTTTCCTTACTAACTACAATTGCAGGTATGAAACAATAATTCGTTTAAGCCTTGCCATTGTTGAGCCCAAATCATTTCATTACTGGTAATAATAATGCTTCTCTATAATGGCTAATAAACATGATATTTATTATCATAAAGATTCGATTTTTTTTTACTTTCAAGGGAAAATTAAGTTTGTGTACAGTTTAATAATGCGTAAACATCGCGTTGTATATAGCAGTACGGATGAAACCATTGGATTTTACACTTAATTTACCTTGCAATTTTCACTGAATATTCATAAAAATGGATATGATAAGGATGAAAATAATGTCTAAAATTTTCCTGAAAAATAAAATCTGGAAAGTAGAAACATTTTTCTTCTTTTTTGCTTCTATTCAAAGCTTTATTTGCGCCCACAGTTGGACAATTTTCACGTCATAATTTAACACTTAGCTTTCAACACGTTGCTAGTTTAATAAGCTATATCTAGACAGTGCTAATAATGATTTTCAGTTTCCACTAACTCACATAATCTTCGCAGTTGTGATGCAATGAAACGAATTCATTCATTGTCAAACAAATAAATAAAAAGTCAAATTCATTGACAATTTGTTATTATTTAACACAATACACAAATTAAATGAGCAAGCAAATAATACAGTTTAAGTATAAAAAGTTTAAAATGTAGTAACTGCTCTACAAATACCTACAAAACACCAAATAAACTTAAGAAATAATTCTTCTTGTCACTTAATTAAGAAGACAAGTAACAGATTTGAATTACTATGAAGATTTCATTAGTTCATTATTCACAAAGTTTACATAATAGAAACTAATTCCTTAGCAAATATTATAGTCTTTGTAATGAAGTAGTTACATTTCTATGCAAATTTTTTTTCTTAAATAGCAGTCTAAAATGACGGATTGCTGTAATTGAATGCTGAAATCACTCTGAGATAACATTTCACTATTCCATTTACGTTGCGTTCACATCCGTAAATCATAAAACACATGCATAGGTTGATAATATTTGAGCATACAAAGACGATAGTCATCTTCTTGAGACATTTTCAATCTCAATCTGCTAAAATCGCTGCAAATGTCAAAGCTTCCCATAAGGTACGAATTGGAAATGGAAAATTTGCCAAAACAAATATTCCACTAATACTTTTCATTACTTTTCAAGCATCAAAGAAGCCCTTATTGTCAAACTGGCAGTTTTTCAATAGACTAACATTATAGATATATTAATTTAGAATGAAATATACCACAAAAAAAGTAACGAATTATTTGTAATACACTAATAAGCTATTAATAAGAAATTATTTTGGATTTGCAACTAAAATTTTTTTTAAGAACAAATCTGACTTCACTCTCAGTCGATATGGCACAAGAAGTCATTTAACTTTCTGGTTATTCCATCAAATTTATAATAATGCTCCACTGCGATATGATGCTAAACATGTCATTTTTTCAGAAAGTATAGAAAAATTAATGGCTAATAATCAAGAAAATTAAACAAATCATGACAATTGATTGTTACTTAAAATTTAAAAAATAACGAAAAGTTTAAATTTGGAATTGAAATTTTTATCATCTATCTATCAATAGAATGAAATTATGTTCAAATAATTTTTGCAAATAAGCAGTAGTAAACAAAATGGCTTTTTTGAATGACAATTTCTATGAAAAGCTTGAAGAAAAGATTGATCTATATTAATCAAACGAGTAAATAAATATTTGTGTGACATATGTAAAGTAACATTTTTGTGATGGCGTTAATTACAATACATTTTGTATACCATTTTTGTTTGAGAAAACTTATTTTATTATAATAAATGAAGCAAACATTTCGAAGCTATATTTTTAATATATGCATAAAGAATGCATGAATAAAAGGCATGAAAGTGAAGATTTTTCCTTAATTTCTGTTGAAAAGAGCACTTTGAGTAAAATTATTTAGAACAAATGGAAAATATATTACACGATAAATTCAGTCTTACTTTTTCTAATGTTTTTGTTGTTGTTTTTTCCAGTGTAAATAAGCAGATAGAACAGATTCATTTTCTGATACATCAAGTTTCGCTTCAAACATTATCTATCCTCTTCATAACAATTATTTCTCGAGTATGCTTAAATTATACTACAGCATTCACTTCTTAAAGACAACTGCAAACTGCTTGTGACCTTTAAAAAAATTTGCAGTACAGAACTTTCACTCATTAGAGTTACAAGATCATTTTTGCTTTATTTTCTTCTATTCACCGATTCAGATTATATTCAAATTAGTCGTCTTCATTTTGCTCTTTGAATAGCCAGCAGTATCAATTTTTTGCTTTTTAATATAAAAACTAAAAGTAATGAACTTCGAATAGTCTTCATACTGATAGTGATTTTCAATCAAATAACTAATACTGAGCAAAAAATGAACAGTTTCACACACAAGCAATTACTTTAAAGACATTCTTAGAGGTAAAGTTACTGGAATGCAGCCATATAATTAATGCTGAATTATATGTACAAAAACTATCAGTATTCTAGAAGAAAGAGAAAAATGGACTTTGTCTACTGATAACTTATCACATCATTAAAAGATATACCTGGAATTTTACGACAAATCCGTGATTCATAAGTATGTATGGAAACTTTATTCTTTATAGCTTTCCAGACAGGGATATAAAAAAATTTCTTGTTGAGAGATAACACAATAATATCAAAAGTAATAACTGTGTTACTTTCCCACTCATAGGTAAAAGGTGATATACTGCCTTTCTTTCAGATGCCATAGATCCAAATATAAAAAGGATGCAAGTCTAATGACAGAATAAGTCAGAATGAAGTATTAATTCTAAGATATACCTAAGGAAGTAATGAGTTTAGTCTAACGTGTAATTGTTTTGGAGAATAAAAACATACCATAACTGCAAATGTCTAAAAAAAATTTGCATACAAGGATCAAACTAGTTTTAACTTCAGATTAGAATTTTAAGTCATTAAATAAACCACTACTGACTAGTGATATGTACAATTTATCTTAAAAATTTGTCAGTTTTTTTTTTAAATCTTTTTTTTACAACAATAAATATTACGTTAATGCTCAACAAGTTGATGCTTCAGTACTATCAAAATTGTTCAGGAAAGTACAACGATAGTACACAGATTTGTTTGAAAAGAGTGACTTCATAACTTCACTGGCAAAACTGATATTTATAAATTATATCAGCTACACAAATAACTCAAACATGCAATTTCCAATGATGATATCATTAAAATGCGTAGAGAAGAGTTGCATACAAATTCCACCTAGAATGATTAATTATTTTATCAGTGATGGAATCAAAAGTGACAATTTCAGAGCTAAATTTTTAGAAAGATGCTGTCAAGTGTTATTTACTTCTTCGTAATGTAATTCTAAAAGTTATTTGGAAGTAGATGAAATTAAGAAAATATAGCTATAATAGTTTTTTTTTAAACCATTTACTTACATAGCCAGATAATTTTTAGACTTAACTGATGCAATTACTTACAAATATGTCAAAATTGTAATTAACAATAATCACAGAAAAGTAGCAGAATAACAAAGAAGTAAGATAAGAACAAAAATTTTTAATATTAATCATTTTTGGCTCATGTTAATGGTGAAAAAATTTTAAATTCACAAAGTATTCAGTGCGCAAATAGCAAAGTACTCTTTTGCATAGCGAAGTCTTATTTAATTCTTAGTTCCTCTTGAATTAGTTCAGTATTCACAAGAACTATGTCGAAGATTTCTGGTGAACAAGAAATCTACAAGTTTTGCTGTGTTTTGCTTTCGAGATGATAACTTTAAAAAATTACAAGATCAAAATGAGATTAAAATTGTAGTTTAGATGATAATTTCGGAACAAATGAGACTTGCTATTTGCATCTGTTGCTCTTGATCATTTGTTGGACTTTTCTGACATTTGGTTCTACAAAATATGCAGTCCAATTAAATCATAGGTTCCAAACTTAATACTCAACACAAGTTCCTTCATCTGCAGAATGATGAAGTTTGTAACAATGATTTTCATCATTAGCTTTTAAAATCTGATTTTTGAAAACCTCATTTTCAAATTTGAATATATATTTTTTCAACTTAACAGAAAAGAAGATTTTCATGTCTAATAAAACAAAATTTAATTGAAATGACTGAAGATAACAATACCACATATAGAGAATACACAGTTATATTCCCAAGGCTTTTAAAATAACTCTTTTGAATCAAGCATATGAAGGTCAAACCAAGAACATTGATGCTTTAATTCTTTTATATCGACAGTGAGTCAACTTGTAATAAACAAGTAATACATGTAGTACTAACAACACATTTCTGACATGTAACGTCTTACACAACATTACTTTAATGATGCAATACACTACTTCTAGTAATCACCAGTAACAAGAACCGATCCTTGACCAGAACTATTACTTTCATGGTCAAACAGGAAAGCATCCCCTATAATTTCTTTGTGACATTTTAAAGTGATACAAATTCCGAATATTTAGACTTTACTAATATATAAAGGAAAACAAAATGGAAGAATGAAAAAAAAACTATTGCAGTGATTTATGATGATTGAATTTAACAGTATGTATAGAACAAAATAAGAAATCATATCCTTTACGTTTATACCCGCCAATTATATTCAGAAACCAGCTCTAATACGTAGAATATAACTTATATGTGAATACTATTCGAATAATTTTCCACATGTAAAATTAAAGTGCACTGTTAGTAGACGATAAAAATACATACATTGCAATATAAAACTTCCCGTGCCCATATACAAATATAGCTTAAACTTGAATTTTCAAGTTATACTTATTAATCATCGCACTAATGAAATTTCAATCTAAAAAAATGTCATGAATATAAGTGAACAAACTACTTCTATGAAAGATTTTATGAAAGACTCCAGTGCATGAAGAGAACATAACTCAGATGGCTTAAGAAACTGCACCAGGAAGATCATCCATGTCAACACCTGAGATGTTACTCAACAGCAAATTCTCAAAATCACCATCTTCATTTTCAAGAGTTAAGGAAAACCGCATGTGTGATCTAAATATGAATTAAGTTGTTTAACTGAATAAAAAGCAACTACTGTAAAACGAGCGACATTTTCATGAATTCTTTCTGTTTTAGCAAGATAAATTATTGGCTTCGTACAAGCAGAAAGATCTATAACACAAATGTCAAAACCAGTTTTTTAATAATTTTAAAATATGAACATCAGTATACTGTAAAACAAATCCCTAACTACTTACGAAAAGTCCGCCTGAAAATAATTTCGATTCGGGTTTGTAGGCCAGAATAAATACACTAGACACGCGACTGCGACGAAATTGGCCCCAGCAGTCAAAACTAAAAATAAGGAGTCAGGACTGAAAGATTGAAAGATATTTATTAAATTTCTGTTCATTTTTGAAGATAACTTGAAAAACAAATGAAAAGGATGGACATAAACTGCTTACCCAACACTATTTTGAATCTCCATAAATCAGATACAAATGAAATTATAATTCCAAGACCCACATAATATACAAACCAGACAAGAAAACCAGCACCAAAGTGAGCCAAAAAAACTGCTTTTTGTTCATAGTTTTCTCTGCAGCTCAAATCACTTTAATCACTGAGGTCAAGTTCTACGCACAAGGAAATTAATCAGCAGAACGAAAACCTTACTCATTTATAAGATGACGGATATGCACCATAAACCAGACCGCTTGCAGCACACGAATCAAAATAACTAAACAGCCTGGCCAAGATTTGAATAGATGGAGTGTACCGCCAACAAAGAACTACATGTTTTTCAATAAATAATTGCAAGCAAAAGTCGATAATCAAGCTATAATAAAGAAAAAAATCCTAAGATAGTGCGGTTACTTTAAAATACAGCAGCAGGTAAAAGATTCTGAATTAGAAAGTAATGAGATTAACTTACGAAAATTACGAAAAAGAGCAAGAAATGAGCAAAAGTAAGAAGTCCCCAAAAAAGAACGATTTTTGAGCAGATAGAAACCCCACTGGTGCTATAAAATGACCATCCAGAGCTAAGCAATAACAGTAATAAGCACATGAGAGAAACGGACATCAAACACGCCATCTCACCAAAAAAATGAGCAGAAAAAATCCCCTAGAAAATAGAATTCCTCTGATTGTGAAGGAAGAGTAAAAACTGCAAAAAATAAAATACAATTAACCAAGCCTTAACAATAGTTTTCGTGTCTCAAAATCTTTAAACTTGCCTGACCGTTGAAAGAAAATATGACAACATTCAAAGATAGCAAAGCTAGGCCAAAAATTTTCAAGATAATGATATAGTTAAGAAACTGATGGCGTGGCAAAACTGATACGCAATCACATAGCATAATAGAGCGCCACTGACAGATACCAATAACCAAATATAATGTAAATAACAAAAAATATATCTCAGCAGAGTTCTGCAACATCAATCATTAGCTAAATAGGCAAACAAATATAAACTTGCAGTCACAAAAAAAAATAAAAAAAATTATATTCTAGCATGCTCCCATCTCTCAAAAAACTTCGAACGAAAACTTTTCTGTGTGTAATCTAATTCGTGCTAACTTAGGTATACCTGCTGTTCAAAGCTGAACTGATGCCCAAATGGATTTAAATAATGCACTTGTGGATTTCCATTAGTGAGCCACAAATCATAATTTACATTTATTTCTTTAACAGAAGACTTCCACAAACAACGAGAATCCAAATAACAAGCAGCTAGCACAACATACCAGTATTGAGGTATAGATAGTTCCATTATCCTGAGAGTCATTTGTGAGCCATTAATAACCTAAAATGTGTCGTTGAAAATAAACATATTAATACAAAAAACACATAAATATATGGATGCTAATTAAGAACCTTCTTGCAACAAAATTCAGTATTTATTCAGTAAAAAATTTCCGATATAGAATTTTCGTCTTTTAGTTCTTAATTCTTTATTCATGATTTTCAAAAATAGATTCATAAAAGTTATGCGCTAGTTGATCCTAATTTAACTAACTACGAATGGAAATAGAAATGTAAGAAACCTTTTCCGGCTTATCTTCTTCAATACAAAGTTTCCCTGTAGGACATGGAACCCATCGCATCACATCCCATTTTCCCTTCGGAAAGCATCTTGATTCAAATATCAGTGAGTCCATGTTCTCAAAGATGAACGAAAAAAGTCGGCAGACAAACGACTATTTTAAAAATCTGGACAAAAGTATAGAATTTAAAATCAAAATAAAGTACAAGGGAGATTTAAATTAAACTCGTTACTAATGAACTTATGCAATAATTGAATTTCAGTCTAGAAAATCAATCTGAAGTTGGAATATAGTCGTAGACTAATATTAAATGAAGAATTTCTTTTAGATTTAGAAAAATACGACGATTCAACTTTTTATATGAAGATGCATGATAAGCATTAAAAATACATAAAATTTGTCGAAACCTACTTGTAATAACGCCTCACAAGATTGTTTGTTATCTGCTTTCGCAAATGCATCAATCAGTGTCCTTGGTACAATAAATAGCACCCCACGCGCTGCAACAATGAAACAGCTCATAAAATGTACAGTCGAACTTAGAAACTTTCAAAAAATTGCTTTACCCTTCAAAGTCTCACTCAAAAACAAGAACTCAAAAATTTGAAAACAACCTTCACTGACTGTTTGCGAAGATATATTGCCATAAACGAATCCACGACTATGTTCAACATCTAGTGGATCCACTTGCTGAAAACCAAATTTAGCAACAATTGAGAATCGACTGCTACGTGAATTCCAACTACCAATGATTCGTACAGCTTGGATGCCTTGCAGAGTAGTGCAAAGAAAGCAAATAAACAGTGATACAGGATTAATAGCATGCATAATTGAATAGTAGTACATTCTTGCCGATCTTTTTTATATCTCGAGTGATTATCTGTAGGATGGCTTGCATTAGATCGACAATTATTCATGGCAACCTACAAATTATCAATCATATGCAAAGAAAAAGAATTAATATACAATACTCATTATGTCACGTAGATCTATTTGCTTCCATTTGATCACTTTTGTAGTGTGATCTAAACACAGACCACACAACATAGTACTCTCGACTTTGAGCTTTCCTTCTCGAAACGTCCCAAAGAATGATTAATAATCATCGGAACTAACTATTTTCCTCTTCATTACACCTTGTTTGTACAGTTTGACAATATTCTTACAAAAATTACTTATAATTTAAAATTACATTGCTAAATTTCCGTGAGCCGCAAAATACTCAATTAATGAAGTAATGATACGTAAGCGGCAAGTAGCTCATTGAATAATTAGATTTATTTTGCCTATTGTGTGCAATTATTATTTAGGAAGCTTATATGGGGCATAAAATTGCTAGAAGTTGAAATGTGTTGTACTGCGTACTCAGTATTCCATTTATGCTAAATTATTATCTAGCATTCACGGGAAGTACTCAGAAGTTGTTAAGTCTTAGAAGTTTATGTGATGTGTAGGAAACTACTCTTCACTGTGTTTTTTTGTTCGCATACTCTACTTTTTTCGCTCTTCTGAAACTTCTGTAATTTATTTTGTAGTGCATCTGTACAATTTGTTTCTAATTTTTGTTTTGTATTTTATAATTAAGTCTAGCTTTTCTTGTGCTTTGTCTCAAGAAATCACAATATTTAGACTCTAAATATAAAAATTCTAAAACGTTATCGAACGTAAACTTATCATAATTGAAATCAATTTAGAGCCTAAATAACGTTATTCTATCAGTCTTTTCTTGGCATTCAGAAGTTTTTTTGTCTGCTAACTAACTTCTCTCATTATGCAACAAATAAGTACTCTCATTTCTGATCAATTTCATACAGTAATTACGAGTTAACGACTATATTAGAAACAATATTTTTGGGTTTTTTACTGAATTTTCTTTCCAAAATAGAAGTAACCAAATAGTGTTTTGAATGTATCCAGTACCAAGTTTTGATTGCTTTTCAAATTAGCTGCAATGATGAGATTAAGATTGTAGGTGTATATTTATATTTATGTCAGGTAGAAGGTGTAACAAATTTTCATTTTTTGTCAAAGCAATGAAAATTAGCGAACAAATATAGTGATTACAAGCAACAATAACGGTGAGGATAAAATGTCAGTGTGTGAAGTGTAAGATAGAATAGAATGGTTGATTGCTGCCGTTTTCAATATTTGTTGCGTAAAAAATTGCTTGACACTTTGTCGGATTATTTTGCATAATTTTGTAGTATGCAAAAATGAGAAATTAAAATCCTTATAAGAGAACAATGTACTGTTTTTTTGCTAATGCAAACTTTGAGGATCTATTTTTAAGGTGGCAATACGTTGTCGTCGTATTGTGTCATACTGAGGATATTTCCAGGTGGGTCGTATTTAACAACGGCGTAAATTATTGTAGAAGGAAAGTCAGGTTGACAGCTGTTTTCACGATGTCCACTGAAGTACCGCATTGCTACACCAACACCCATTCGCAGTGTTGATTTCCAAATAAGTTGAGTAAAGTGTCCTTTGCGTTCGTAGTCTAAATGATGGTGCCTGCAAGTCTTTGCTAACAGTTTTAAAAATCAGAAGATTTATTGACGTTAGAAGTTCTTACAGTCATAGATTTTCAAAACAAAGTTTGGTCGAAAATTTTAGATGTGACAAACAACTTTGTGAGAGATATTAGATAACTTGCTGTAGTAAATGGACGTAATACTGATTAGCCTTACTTTTTGCATTTTCTATATTTTTTAAACGGCGTAAATAAAAGAATTCGCTTTTGTCTAGATATTGACGTAAGACTTCTAATCTAGAAATAATTGACTTTTCAAAAATATAGAGAATACAAAAAGAATGTCAGCGTTGGGAAATATTAGATCGGTATTAGTATAGAAAATCTGTATAGTAAAAAGCACTCATTCACTATGCAGTAATTTGGAATTCAGATACGTGATGTTTGTTATCTTTGAGAAAGTGTTCATTGCTAGGAACCGCCATTTTAAATTTCCATACTTTGTAAAAGGTTGAATTTGATTTACTGATGATTCTAGGATGATTGTAAATACTTTTTATTAATGTTCTCTCTACTATACTGATTTTCTTTATCAAAATAACAATTTCTAATAACTGACGTTTTATAATTGTATCCATACGATTCAAGATAGAAGCTTTGTACAGTCATCAGTGCCATTGTTTCTTCATCAGGCAACAAATCAGTAGCATAATAGAATATGTTTTCTCCAAATCTATCAAAAATCACAACGATATTTTATCTTCTTTTTGTTATTTTTTTATTATTTTCAAAGTCTAAATAATATTATATTCTAACTTTGTATCATTGCTAATAAAAGACTATGGGAAATTTTATCAGATGTAATTTACATTTATTCAAGTCGATGTATTGAACAAAGGATAAATCCTGTCGTAACCTGCCTTTTTGACGGATCGTGTATCAAGCAGTCTGTTTTATTAGCGAGTCGTTGTGCCCATGTTTCAGCGTTTTGTTCAAGTTCACTGTCGCTATTAAGTGGTGCAACACCGTGTCTGCTACGATAAACGTTATGGCGTAGGAGAATCTGCAAATGATTTCGAATACATTCATTCAATTTAATACTTGTTTTATGTATAATATATTTAAGCTAAAAGAATACCATTTTACTTAATTTCAAGTTATAGAAATGCTTGTTTTCATTTCAAAATTTCACCAAAAATCAGTGTATTCTAGAAGTGCCTTTGTTGAACGATTTATTATAATAACGTGAAGGAATTTATTCATCTTATATACATGTTATGAATTACTTTTTTTATTGAAATGCGAAATTACAAGCATTATTTGATTCAAGTGTTCTCGTCTCTATTCTAGGTTCATGAATTACTTATAATTTTCATACTTATCCATGCTTTTATCACTCGATATGAAAGTAAGAAGCAGTAATTACTACTTTAACACAAATTTTAATTGTGGGCGTACTCGCATTCATTTTTATTTTGCAGCTGCACTCATACATACATTCATCAGTTTAGTTTCTTTCCAAGGTTCACCGTCTTTGTCATTTCTGTAAAAATATACAGGTAATACACACTTCTACACACATCCAGACATAGAAATACTCAAGAATGCCAAAATTTATATGAACTTGCGCAATAATCAGTATTGTATAATAACAAGCAATTTTGACATTAATAAATTTTTGTAATTTTTTTTTTTGGCTATGCCTGTTTTCAGAATCGACACACGTATCAGTACTCTGTGATTTTCAATTTTCGATTTGCAAAAAAGTGTAAAATTTTCACTCTGTAATTACTCTCATCGGAAGTTCAACAACACTCATGGTTGAAAGAAATTAACTTTATGAACGAAAATATCACTTTTGTCCTATTCAAAATTCAGAAATAGGTGCAGATGTAAAAAACGTGACTGTAGCTAAAATAATACCTAAGCATACAAATTTCTTATTAAGCCAGATAAAATTCCCTTTATTTTGTAAACCTCGAGGATGGTATCGGATTAGGGAGAGTACCGTAATCTATTTTTTTGAGGTAGTCACAATGGCAAATGATGTGCTGAAGCAGTGGTAACAAAATATTAAGGAAATTTATACTTACAGCATCTTTGTAGGCAACTATATTGAACTCGGATGGCGGTATGTTACGCTTTTTAGCACTTCGCAACAAGTATTCTTTTATCTTGGCAATCTGAATATGAATATAAGAGCACTGGTATTACTCTGACAATGACAGAATTTTAATTATTCTATAATCAACGCAAAATTCACGCAACTCTTCTATCGTAAGAATCCCTTAGGAGAATAGTATGACGCAGTACAGTTCGTCATCATAAGTAATGATAATGATCAAGTTTGCATAATTTTTAGTTAGCTTTTCGATGCCTCTATTAAAAAATTTTGTTCTTTAACGCATCACATCTTCGGTTTTTCAAGTATAACAGTTTGAATTTAATTGAAGACAGTTATGACTTTGTTTTAAAAAAATATCACTTTATGATCTGTCTATCAGTGCTGAATCCATTTGCTTACAAAAATGCCAGTTTCGACTTATGAACACTGACGTCATTGAGTATTTTGTACTATTTTAGAATGAAACTATTGTCGAGTTACTTTCCTTCCCGACCGCTTTTCTGTCTTCCTCTTGATAGCTACAGAAGGAAAACGTAGAATTTTTTGCTAGTGACGGAAGTTGTGCAGTATCTTCAATTAAAAATAATGGATGTATTGCCTAATTCTGCATAAAATACCAAGTATTTAATTATCCCCTAATGAATGCCAAAAATGCGCAAACAAAAACAAATACTTAGTTCATGGTTAATTGACATGTTAAAGATTATATTCAAATTTTTTTTCAATATCTTCAGATTACAGTATTATAGGATAGAGCGTTCAATTCAGGTAAACAACTAGTGATGTAAACTAATTTTTAAATTGGTATCAAAATGTATGTCAATTTTGTGATTATTAAAGATCTGCAGTCTTAAATCAGTATTTATGCAGCGCTGAGGTGGCAAGTAATACCGAATTTGATCCTAATGTACAACAATGGATTATTTTTAGGAGTACATCAGAGAGCGAGACTGATTTTAAAACTTACGCTATTAAAATCATCTATACTTATTTCAGTAGTGCTTAATTTTTTTAATTGCATAGTTGGCCACTGTTTTGCTTTATCAGGCTGTGCAGTATCTTGCACATACATTTGTTTTGAAGCAGTGACTGAAGAACTGAATAGACTGATGTAGTTGAGTCTGAAGAAAAATTAATTTCAAAATTCAGTGATTTTATGGTAGTAGTTTATTGCAAAATATTGAATAATAAATATATAAAAAGACAGTCTTGAATGAGTAGTTTTAAGCTTTATTTTTTACTGAATGTATCCACTTTTGCAGGGTATGCAGTCTTCACAGTAGCTGTTTCTGGAACATGACAGAAATGCTGTATTCTTAAATCGAGAATTCGTAATTAACTGGTATGGTGGATCCGTCAGACTACGCGCACCAATTTTGATCTTTGTGTACAACAGGTTCTAGAAAAATAATTGACTTAACTGAACGGAAATGGAGTAATGAAGGAGAAAAATAAAAAAATATAAATAAAAGTGCCTGTGTAATGTCAGCAGTAATGCGAGCAATGAGACATTTATTATATTGAGGACTATGAATACAGCTGGAAGGATACAGTGCTTGAGGTATAGAATCATAAACGGCTAGGCCAGTTATAACTGTTGAACAGCTACAACCAGTAGTGTTCTCTGGTTCTTTCGTTTCGCTATCACACGCACAAAAGCTGTAATAAATAGCTGAAACTTTGTAATCATTTAATTTTCAGTTTAATTAACTGCTAAATTTTGCCACTGTGGAGTTAAGTAAATTAAAGATAAGTTTTTTCTATCGTTTTTCTGTATTTTATGTGGAAGCAAATTTCAGGGATGAATATGTTTTGATGGAAATTGAAACGACATCCAAGTACAGCATTTAAAATTGAGAAATTTTAATACGAAAAAACAACAGAAATGTTACCGGAAATCGTATCGTTCATTTTTAATTTCACTTATTTCTGATGCTCCAAGTGCCTTATATTTTTGCATAATTATTTCTAGTATAGTATCCTGTAATTTGAACTCTGAGAGTTATTAATTTAAACTACAGTTTAGTTTGATTCTGATTATATTATATATATTCAGAATCATGGAATCAAAATGTATAAGGTTTAAACTGCAACTCTTGCACTTTTCTTGAAATACGAAATTAATGAAATAATGAATAGAAATGAATCTCTGAAGTGTGACCAGTTACTATTTAAACTAGTCAGTCATTCAATTTTTTTAATTGTTAGAACTCAGTCAAACTTTTTTGTAGTGCACAATAAGTTTGTAGAAGCCGTCATTACTATCACGCAAGTTCACCACTACTTCTGAACTATCTTTGCCATAAAGAAAAATAAGCTGTTTCCTAAAGAGTACTGCTTTCAAGTGTTGACCATCCTTTCTAAGAACGCTGCTTTCAAACAGTTATTCTTTCGTTTTACTTATAACAATATAAGTTAATGAATTCGGAAACTTAAAAAAATACAAGAAGAGACCTACTAACTTTGTCATTAATACTAGAAGCATCAAACTGAGCTAGCAGAAAAATAAGCAGGAAATAAAGCATTGCGTTGCTTTCGAGACTACAGTATCATGCCTCTTCTTGTACTTCCTTTAAATTTCTGAACCGTTAATAAAGGGCGACTTTTTTTTTTGTGGAAACAGGATAGTGACCTTGTACAACTTTTTCGCAACCACACCATGTTGTCTACTACCGACCGCCTACACTAACATCTTTATTTTCCTTGGCTTGCTTACTTCGGCATCTTTAACACTATAACAAACATCCTTGGTTGAACAACTGTCGCACTTTCAGTGATTTCCTCCCTAAGATAATGTTGCTACAGCTGAATAATACTAATCACTTTTTTACCGGTCAACAGCTTTTATAGCATGTAAAACTAGTAAATGACGTAGTTTCTACAAATATGATTAATAGTTGTTTTGGGATTTCAATGATGATAACCTTTCGGTTTAGAAAGGACAATTCATTTTTCTTCTGAGTGCCAGAACTTCCTAATACACTCTTTTTAGCGGACTGGAAGAGCATAGCACAATTACGACTTGTCAACAGTCAGAACTGTGGAAAGATACGAGTTCTAAGTTATTTCAACGTACAATATCACGCCCAACTTCCGACTTCAGAAAAACCAAAAACTTTTTTTGGGAGAAGAAAAGTTAGAAAAGGTAATATATCATTAACAAAGCATCGAAAAAGCTATTAAGTTGGGCGTAATGAAGAGACCTCTTCTCTATTGTTCAAAAAGAAACAGTTTTGTTGTTAGGTGGATGCATCATCCGGTAGCTGAAACTTCCGTTAATGTACATTCTATCTAATTCGAGATTTGGTAGCAGAAAACTAAAGTTGACATGTTTTGAATGAAAGAAGGAGTATACATGCACCTCCAACTCTGAAGCCATTAATATCCAGTTTCTGAAGTCCGCAGACGAACGCTTTTCCTAATTACCGGTAACCAAATTATTTCAGTGCATTAAAATCAGTTCATAATTGAAATTTCCAACTTTTTTGATGCAGACTGACTGCCATTACTAGACTATATGCATTGTATTTTAATAATTCCCATTAATGCTGTATAGCAGTTACTCATCATTTAGGCAAAAAACGGTGGCTGCCACAAAATTTGAGTTTTTTGCAGGTGAAAGTAATATGCAGCATTCACGGTCCTAATAGTATATAGTGTATAGATTTTTCATGACATATAGCCTTCGTCGTTAAGAAATGAAGTAACAGATATACGCTCACTTATAAAATCGCCAATAATCTGTCAGTTTTTATTTTGATTTTAAAATAATATACAACAAACGCAGTCATGCGCACGACCAACACTAACACAACTTTGAACACCACATGTCAGGCATTACAGTCTCATTTGATGGTTTTGAAATACATTCTATAACGAAAGCCAACAATTTTACACACAATAATAGATATTGCTGCCTAAATAAACACTTCTTATTGGATCCCTCCCTTTCTGAAACCATATACAGCGTATGAGATTCTGTCTACGTAGTTGTACAAACGTTAACATTTCAATTTTCGCATATCTCACATAGCAACGAAAAAACGTAAGACTTAAGCCACAATAACGTAAGACTTAAGCTAGCTAGCTTAATCAACTCAAAGATAGAAGCAAACCTAACGATCATATGCGGAAGTTTGTATGATGAAAATATTCAACACCACCACACCTTGCGCCGCCAATTTTGTTTGTGACATTAAAAACAGATCTAGAACGTACTCAATGTAATAGTTAGTACCAATTATAGTCTATGATAAATTGAAGTGAAAGGATGACAATTTCTTATTTTATAAACGACAGTTATGAGGACAGGCAGAGGGATGCATACTTAAAGAGAACACGAAAGCAAGTAATCCTTTCATATGGTTTTTGAAGACTCACTACTTGTGACTAATTATAACATGAAGTCTTACATATGTAATTCCAAAAATCATCACATTCTTTCCATGCGTTTGTATACTCAACAACAATAGTTTCTACATTGGTTGAGTAAATAACAAGTGGAATAATTTTACAGGTTGAAGAAGTAGACTTATTGGAAACAGTACTACAAAACTATTCTAACTTCAAGTTAACATTTTCAGACAAGTGTAATCAGCGACAACAGAATGTGTGGAAAAAATTTATTTCGACCCATAAACAATGCTTATAATGATCAACCATTTTATTTCTTATACAATTAAATGTAAAAAACTTAAATGCTCAAGTATTTTGAGACTACCCCAAATATACATTACAAATCGGAAAAACTCCGAAGCCATGAATTTTTGATAAAATAAGATATATCTTATAAAACGCAACTACAGAATTTTTTTCATTCAAAGTAACGTAGGAAAAAATTTGCACCACAAAATAAATTTACTGATGATAGAGAATCTAAGATACTTCTATATCAATTGCACTAGATTCAGTAAATGAAAGGCTTAAGGTTTCCCTGTTGGATTTCCTACGCTAACTAAAAATCTTTTTTGAAATGTTACAACCATATCACTTCTTCCCTTTTTTTGAAAGAGAACTCTTCATTGAATTCTTTTTCTTGAGCTTCTTTTTAGCGCAATTCTGACAATACCAGGGTACATCATCAGGTGGTGCTACCAATAACCCCACGCAACTCCTAAATAAAGGATGCAAAGAGATGTCAATGTGCTAACAAACATTCCACAGTTGGAATAAAATATGTGAAAACTCACCAATGGAACCAATTATCGCACGCATCGCAACCAACCATATCAGTTGCGCCTTCGACATAGGCGACCGAACACTCAGGACAAATCCACATAGTATCTAGTGAATCATCGCTTTCGCAAGTTGCAAATTTCTAAAAGTTGATGAAACTTGAATGTTTAATTTTAACACCGTAAATCTCAATATTATTATGCGGGTAGCAGAAATTTCATGCAGGTGAGGGTGACATAAAATATACAACTTGATGTAATAAAAGTTTCAATTTAAAAGGGAAAAAGGAACCTTGTCCGAAGACCTTGTTCCTGAATCCGCACTCGACGAACCAAATCCAAAAATGTCGCTATCCATGCTACATTGCTGAGAGAGTTTTTCTTTTGTGAATGGTACTGTAAAAAGAGGATCTTGGGTGTAAATTAGCTCAATAAAAATCCACTTCAACTGAAATGGGATTGCGTTCACCGCCCTATGCACTGTTTAAAAATTCAATACAGAGCCAGTCATCACAATCAGTATGCTTTGAACGCACTAAATCATAGTATTTTGTAATAAATAAGTTACGTATCTCGTAAAGTGAATGAGCTATGCATTTTTCAGGTCATTGCAGATATGACCCACAAGACATCTAAATCATGGAACGAAGTGACAATGGAACAGCTAGAAAGAAGAGCACAATGAGTATCTTACCCTCTCCAGAATCTGGATCGTAATCGCTAGAAAGTTGTTCAGCTTCCCTTTTCCTATTTATATCATCTTTGTTCGAATTCTTGGATTTGCTTTTGATAGAAGCCTCCCCTCCTTTACGCCCACTTTCAGCAGTAGTAACACCCGAAACACCAGTGGCACCCTTAGCACAGTCCCCCGTGCTTGACCCTTTACTGCGTTCAGCCGATTTTTTCGTCGCTTCCTTGTGATTAACCTCCTTTTCATTACCTCTCGACTTCTTGCATATCGGTTTTTCTCTGCCCTCCAACTCAGGATCAGAAAGGTAATCCAATGAGTTCATCTTCCTCTTCTTTCGAGGACCAGTGAGGTCAGGAGCAGACCGCTTCGGAGTTAGTAACTTATCTCTTCCCATCTGTTTCACTAAGAGGCTGTCACCACAATCATTTCCCACCGCTATCCCCACCTTCTCCTTCTCCACAGCACCTATATCCTTCCTCTTTTCCCCTTCCTCCACCTTCTTATCAGCCCTTTCACTTCCCTTTTCTTTCTGCCCCTCTCTCTGTGACGGCTTCTTTCCCTCTGCTTTTTCCGACGCCTTCTCGTCCTGCTTTCGCTGATGCTTGTCTTCTGGGTAAGTCTTCTGTAGCTGTGATTTTGACTTCTTCTTCTTCTCTCCTCGCCCCCGCTGATCACGATGTTGTTCTTCCTTCTCCTTCCCTTTCTTTTTGTCCTTATCTAATTCCCACCCTTTAGTTTTAACTGAATAACGATCCTTAGATAATTTGTCCTTGTCGCTGCACACAACAAGGCTAGGTGCACGTTTTGCGAAAGAGTCTTTCACTTTAGCAGACCTGTGTGTCCCTCCCGACATCTTCACGTCAGTAGTTTTCTTCTTAGCCCGCTCTACATCTTTCTTCAGGACTTCTTTCTCTATACGTCGTCCACCAGTCACAGCAGCACCAGATGGCGTTATGTGTTGCAAAATGTGAGTCTCACATTTCGATGTCGTATTCGGGATACCACTTTCTTTCTTCTCCTTTCCAACTTTCAGAATTGAACCAGAAGTGTTGTTGACCAGATTACCCGCCTGGCACCCTGGAAATTCATTTCTCCCTTCGTCCATATGCATGCGTTTGCCAACTGTCCGATGCAGGCAGTTGATTTGCTGCAAACTGTGAGCATCGGCTTTTGCTGTATCCAAACTTGTTTCCAATTCTTCTTTTGATTTCCCTGCTTCTTTTAGGCCTCTTCCCCTGAAATATTCACCAATGTTGTAAAGAAACAACCTTAATTGGTAAGTACACTCATTTTTGCACAAAGCTTCCTATTACTCAAGTTTGTGATTGCAAAGCTTTTCATACCGAGTGCTTACTCTGACAAATGAATCTTAGGTTCAACCAATCCAGTTAACGTAAGTTCATCAAACTAAGGTTTCTTGCATAATCTCACATATACTCATTGATTTATTAGGACAAACGCTTCAACTAGTCTCTATGCAGTCCAACTGACTGTGCACTTCTCAATAGATTGGGTATCCAGTAACGAGAGATGCAAAAGTTCTCACGACCGCTAGAAAATGTGAAATCATGCTACCCAATCACTACGCTGTCTTAGAATGCTTATCAAAACTTTATTTTACAGTATCAGTACTTTATTTTACTGGATTGAGCTAAAATCTCCAGGACAGTGATAAGAACGGACAAATGAAAGGATTTCAGTGGGGCAGCGTACTTTTCAGCAAAAGCAGGGAGAAATTGTGGTAGCACGTACACACATCATCTATGATCGGAACTTTAACTTTTCTATCACTTTTCTTCATGTTAAATATAAGCTTTTTTTTAATAAAGTCTGTTTAAAGTCCATTTTTTATTGGTTACAAAAAGAAGTCTAGATTAAAGCAATCAGTCACTGAATCATAAATACAAGACTAATGTAACTAGCACTTATGAATTGATAAGAAGAATGCGAGATGCCGAGGTTTTTTGGTGCGAATATGTACAAAAATAGTAATAATAAAATACAGTCTAGATATATAACATAATGAACATGTTTGCAATATTTTCATCCTAAATTTACAATGAGTTCTGTGAATAAAGCTGAAAGGCACAATGGTAGAGCTAGATTCATAACTGATTTAATGCTTAACAATATAGAATGCTTTTCCCGGCGAGTTGGTATGTCAAAGTAATGATGAGCAGTTAATATGTTAAAACGTAAGGGGAATTCTACTTATCTCCGACCAACTTAACTATTGTTAAATAAACTTAAACAAAAAGGCAGTTTTAAAATTTCTGTCACGGTGTATGGTAAGGAGTAAGGATAAATTAGTAAATGATCTAAGATTTGAGATCACATTAGAGATTAGTAAATAAGATTTGAGATCACTTTAGAGCAATGCATGCAACAGAAGCTTGCGAAATATGAAAAATCTCCTTGTATATCAGTAATCTATCTGCTTTCCTTACATGACTTACTCTTTAATTTCAGACGTTTTCGACTTCGATGACAATTTCGGCAATGCCTTGAGCTGAAATTTTGCCACCATAAAATTTATTGGAATCGAAAAATTCAGCTCCTTAAATTTATTTTACTTGAGCTGGTTGATTAGTTGTACATGTTAAAAATAACGTCAATAAATAATGTAAATGGCGACTGCCTACAAAAAGATTTTAATGCTAAAATTTGCTTAAACTCAGTAACCTCGCCCTTAGTCATAACTGACGGCTTTCGAAGTCGCTTAGGTGCAGTTGGTTTAGAGGATGGAACCATCTCATTTTCTGCCTTGAATGAAGAATGCATTCTTCGCGCATTTTCATCGGCTGGTAAAACCGTCTTTCCTTCAGATCTAAAAAGTAATGGTAACAAAAACTGAAACAATATAGAAAAAATGGTACTTCTTCATGAAACTTACATTTGTGCAGATGGTACAGGCATAACGGCAGGTGAAGTGCCATCTGAATTGGATCCAAAACGAATTTTCAGTTTCGGTATTTTCGGAGCAGGCACATCTACTGCTTAAAAAAGTTTCTGTTTTAAGAAAGGCGTCTTTTCAGGATGATATTACTAATCACATAGAAAAGCACTTTGTCAGATATAGTATTCTATTCAGCAGGAGTTGCTTCCACAATACTGAATACTAGTAATTCTGCCATACAATTTTCCAACCAATCATAGGAAAAACAAATCAAAACATGAATCATAGTAGAAAACTTACGAATACGTTCAGGAGGTCGCTTCAAATTTCCTGCTGGTAGTCCCACTTTCCCATAATCCTTCTCCTTCCCTTTTTCCTTATCTTTCTCCTTTTTATCCTTCCCTTTGTACTCCTTTCTATCCTTCCCTTTGTGCTCCTTGTTGTGATGCTTACCGCGATCTTTGTCCTCAATTTGCATTTCTCATTCAGAACTGTATCACTGTTATAGTAAAAGATGCTTCCTAGCATTAACTAATATAAAAAACATACTTTTCTGTGTTTCTTTTTCTTTTCAAGATTACCAGAACCGTGTGAAGCTACATCCACATCTCCAAATTTTGGTTCTATGTCTTTCTCCGTTTGATTGGTTCCATCTAAAAATATGTCTCAACAAGACTATTGCAGGAGAAGCCAAATAAAAGGAAGGAATCAAACTTTACTTGAAGGCGAAAATGCAGTAAATTCTTTCTGCCCACTTTGTCGTGACAGAACCATTTTAAGTGCTTTGGAATCTTCTGAAATGAAATAATAAGCTATATGATATTAAACCAGTCAGATAAAATTAGAACGTGAACACAATTTCCACAGAATGAAATAAAACGTCATTCATAGATCATTTAACGCATTGAGATTTAAGATGTTGAGAAGAGTTACGAAATAAGAGGCTGCTCTTAGAATAAAAACAAATTTTTATGACAAGTTAACAAAAAATTCACGGATAGATATAAATGAAAATTTACGAGTAGCGACGACGTCGTCAACTTTTGTATCTTCATTCTTATCATTAGAAAATGGCGAAATTGATGCTAAACAATCCTCAGCTTTTGCTGTATTACTTCCACATTCATTTTCTACGTCATCAACTTTGCAATTTTCTAGCTCTTTTGTAGTATCGTCCACCGTTACAGTTCTATCAACGTCCTCATTAGCAGTCTCCTCAGATTCACAAAACTCTTCATCGTATTCCTTTTTCCAAGGTTCCTTGCTATCACCAATAAAAAGCTCCCCAACATACTTGCCACTTCTACATACAATAATAGCATCAAACATTGCAAAGGAATCATTCTTAGAATCTTCAAACAATATGGAAATTAATACGCAATATATAATAGAAAATTAAAAAAACTTTAAAAAACTGACTTTAAAGTTATGCGAAATATTATACGTTCCATTGAGATTCTTTAAAACTAAAGAAGTCTAAAGCAACGCTTCGCAGACGAAACACCAGCACAAATGAATGCACAATGCACTGATAGTAATGATATATGCAGTTGTTTAAAATTTGCATATGCAAATTATGCTCCATTTATTTACACTGAGTGTCTGTTATATTTGCACTTTATAAGGAGTCAGAGTGAAAAACACAAAAACCATTTCTTAATAGTTTCTGTACTTTTTCGCATAACTCTGAGTACATTCAACACACCTATATTCGAGCTTTTGAGGCTTCACATCTTTAATCATTTGTGAACTGGTTCTTGGATCGTTACAGTCATCGCCTACATACGAGTCCACTGTTTTATCATTTTTAAATTCGCCACCATCATCCTTCTATTAAATATAAATTTTATTCTATTTGTTATAAAACGATCTTAAAAACACCAAATAGCTTCCAGAATTCCAATTGGATATAAACTATTTGCCTGAAAAATGTGAATTTTCCATAGTCCGATTAAAAAAGCAATATCAAACCTTTGTGTAAGATGCAATACTTCTTCCACTGCTAACAGAAGTTGCATAAGAAAAATTGATAAGAATAGCAGACTTTTTATCCAAATCATCCTTTTTTGTATCAGTAATATGTCGGTGTGTCTGGTTACTGTAAAAGTTAAAAGAGACATCTGGATCCACTTATCCATGATTTGACACTATTTATGAGATCAAAAATATTGTTTTAAATATAATCTACACAAATATAACTTACTTTTCTGGAAGATCCGACTGTTTACTCAATAATAAAGTACTTCCCGATTGCTGTTTTGATGCCTTTGTTACTGCAATAGTGCGCAAAAGATTAAAAACATGTATCAATAAGTTTATTACTTACCTAGAACGAGATTAAGAACTATTATTTCAAAAGCTTCTCAGAAATGCCTAATGAAGGGATTTCTAATAAAAACCGAAAGAATTCGACGAACAAATTACACTTTAGTTTAGAATCAGGGTCAAGCAACAGTGCTTGATGAAATCATTTCATAGTTCCTAAACTAAACTTTTATGTGCGATTCCATAAATCAAACTTTGATTTTTTCATTAATGAAAAATCATTAATAGAAAATTACTTTGATCGAAACTTCCAAATACAGTTGAACAACTTGAAGGCACTGATTTATCTGGAGGTGATTCATCAAATTCAAACGATTTATTATGTGCAATAGTATCTTGCTCCTTAATTGTAACTTTCAGTCATAAAAACAACTTTGAAAATTTCGAACTTAATAACTGCAATGCATCTGATATTTGCAATTATAGCAATTAATAAAAGAACCTTTGCGTCTCTAACCTTTTCTTTGTCGCGGTGTTTCATTTTTTTCTCTTTCACACTGTCTTTATCGCGATCTTTCTCTTTCTTCTTCTTTTTTATTTTTTCACCGATGTTCCCACAGTTTACTAATGCCGATGGAGGCATGCCAAACATACCACTAGGTCGCTGCATTTCATAACATTTCATACATTTCAGGAAAAGTACAATCCACACAAAAAAAAAAGCCACGAAGAATTTACCAAGAAACACAATACATTAGTCCACACCAAAAACTGACGTGTATCAAATGCAGAGTCGCAAAGTTGGGCTAAAAAGTCATAATACTTCAAATAAAATGAATGTACCTGAGGATTTGTTTTGTTTAAAGCATTTTCTTTCCCTCTGAGACTATTTGATGTCATCTGATCTTGAAAGTAACTGGAGTTTCCAATGGACTGAAATATTCAGAAAGTAAACTGTTTTCGCTGAAATATCTAAAACAGAACTGTCTTATTACAGAGATAACCACTTATAAAATAAAACCTACGTCCGCAACGGACCACTTTTTGTACTTGTTTCTAGAAATATTTTTAGACAAATCCGTCAATTGTGCAGCAATATTAGCACTACTGGAAATCCCACTCGGCTCTTCAATCACTTTTTTTGATGGCAGTTTTATCGGACGAATGAAACCCAATTCTTTAGCAGTCAACCCAGTAAAATCAGGAAAGGAAATTTTTGATTTCGTCATTCTCATTCTGAAACAGAAATCGAATAGTTCTAGGCATATGATATATGCAAAAAATGCTATTCTTACAGCTTTAGAAACTAAAACAATTTACTATCTAAATGGTCACTACTGTAAAACAAACATAATCTATAACTGGAATGAAAGATTCAATGCAAATCCTTCAAAATTTAAGATTAAAATACATGATAATTACAAAGGAACACATAACCGTCGAATATTCCTGCTTTTAAGCGTCTTCTGAGCTTGATCATTTGATGGTGAGCTCTCTACCGACTGAGCTGCAAAATACATTCATTAACAGTGTTTAGCTGCAGTTAAGATTAGCTTCTATAAAATTAAATACAAATTATAACCTTTTATTTGATCACACCATTCAGGATGAATGGCAGGAAAATAATGCGGTATGTGTTCTGGTCGTTCCTTTAACTCTCTTTCAGAAACTGGTCCATAAATATTATCTTCGGTATCCAATTTGACTGGGTAAGATGGTATCTGAGAAGGGAAAACAATTAAGTAATTAATTCATACAAAATAGATGATTAATTATGAAACTACAAATAAATACTTTAGTTTCAGCAGATTCGAACTGAACTTGTTTCATGAACATGTGCAGATCCGTTACGCTGAACATTAACTTATTGAAAGTCAAATTTGCATCCTCGAAGATGGGAAACAGCCTACCAGCTTAAAAACGAAGTTAAGATTTCAGAAAATCATTGGGTAACTTATTAAAAGGGTCAAATAGCATGACAGATATTGGCTTAGTAAATCTTCACCTGATTTTTTGGGATTAAAACTAAAGTTCGGATATTAAATAAACAAAATTACCATGCTCAGCAAGGATTTTGGCTTCATACCAAAGTTTTTCCATATAACGCCGACCCAAATCTATTAGTATATCCAAGACAGATTCCTGATACATTACGAAACCAATATTATCCATAGTTTTTATAACTGATTGGGCAAGACAGGATAATGAATAATCCTCAGCAGGATTTAATGAACGAAAGGTAGAATCTGCAATGGAGTTAAAAGCTCATCAGTAAACAGAAATATGAAAAGTATTAAGAGGAAGTAGTCAAGAGTAGAGCGCACATACCTTCACGTTTGGAGACTGGTTTTTCTGAAGTAACCGAACACTCCTTTGACTGCTGATCATCAGGTTTCTGAAAGTAATCACTGCAGTCAATTTAAATAATAAAGAAAACAATGAATTAAAAAATCAGGAAATGCTATTTAGAAGCTTCTTACTTCTTCCTGTGCTTGCTCCTCAAATTGCTGCTTACTGTTTTCTTCTGTAACTGATAAAGCTTCACTTACTTCACCATCTGTTATTGACTCATCCATCATGACCCACCACTGTCAGGCTATTTCAAATATTTCCGACGAAAGGTGGGCATGAAATTATGACCTAAATGCAGTTAATTAATTGATAATTGGCAACTCAAGCATAGATTGAAAAGATATTATAACATTATAAAATACAAATCTCCGATCACGAAAATAGACTCTGACATATTTTGTTTGTTACATAGTCGCGCGCCGTGTATCATCCAAAAGGCATTATTACTCGGAACCAGACGTAGAGATACACTACTATGTGCACAACGAAAATGAGTCATATCAGAGCAATCAAAACTCATTACTCAATGTTTTTTTTTTTGTCTTGCTGTTCAGTAATTTGATGATAAGTCAAATATATCACACGAAAAGTAGTATAGACACTTTCTGTTTCAAATTTGGCCGTAGATTGAATTTAGGTAGTATTGTCTGTAAGCAACAGTACAGTAATTCTAAGGTTTGCGAGGTTTATAAAGCATATTTTAAATCCAAATAAAAGTCTTTTGTTTATTGAGAATGTGAGGAAGAGTTTATTACTTGTGTATTTATGAAAAAAATTATAGTACAATCAACAGTTATTACTGTCACAAAATATCTTCTGGTGACGCCATGATACTTTTTGTTTCTTTTTAATCTCCAGATTCACTAAGCCTGTTTTCACAATTAGTAGCTGGTTTTTCAAGCTGTCGTAATAAGATCTATGAGAGTTGACCTTGATTCGTTTTTGATTAAGCGATACTTCATTGAGTTGAGGATGATAATGATAACCAATAACATCAATAACGTCAATTGGTGGTACCACGAGATCTTTCTATCAAGAAAGTTCCATGATAAATTGTTAAAATATGTAGTAAATTGATATGCATCATTCTGTTTAACTATTTCTTTACAACTGAACTCTTATCATAAATGCTGTACTATAATTACTAAATACTTACTGCAGTATGTTTTTGAGTAATATACAAAGTAGCTTTATCAGCACTGATCACGAATTCAAAAAACCAATGAAAATAATTGTATGTGCTAAAATTTTGCACAATACTTTCACCGTCATCCCAATATAACTGACCAGTTGACTTGTCCGAATCTAAAAGAAAAAGAAATTTGCAAAATCTGAAAAGAATATGAATTGTCAGCGAGAATAATTTTTTAGGCTAATATATTTGATAATTTCGAGACTTAGTACCATAGTTTTATAATTTATGAATAGCTGTGATGAATGTCTTCTTCTGTTGTTTCTCTTCTTTTAAAGCAGTTTGGTAAAAGCATCGCTAAGATAGTACTACTTTCTTCGTACTCACAGAATACTAATGTAGTGTATTGAAGTCTTTCAAAATTTTAAAAATATAAGGCATTGTTTGAGTATTTATTGAGTAGATTATTATTCTACGATGTTTGCCATACCAACTGTGATGAGTAGTTCTAATGGATTATTTCTTGAAGCAGTAGTAGTTGTATTTGGTTTCTGTCTCACTACTATAGCACCTCCTGAAATGAGTAACACAATGATAATTATCTATTTGTAATCAGCTGAACTGGTTTTTCACTTAAACGGTTTCTGCAAATAATTTTTCTACTTCATACAAATACACTGAACTGCCTTGCATTCAGTCCGTATTTATCTGCTCAGATATCACACTTCTATCCTCATTCTCATTTAGCTTAAAAATTGCTAATTCAATTTTTTGATGAAAAGCAAGAAATGAGGAAATAGTAATCAAAATAAATGATAGAGGGATACCACATAATAATATTCTATCAATATCATATAATAAGTAATGAGTTGTTAGAATAGGACATGAATGAAGTGGGAATTATCAATGTTAGTTGCGAATTTAATTTCCTTCACAAATTTCACCTCTTACAAAAACGGGTATAAGTTCATTTTTTTTTGCACTAAATATACTACGTCCAGGTTTTGCCAAAGTACCATAGTCTGATTCTCGTAAAGAGTACCATGTTGTTGTGAAAGGTAAGTATCCTGAGACGGATGTGGCGTGCTGCAAAATTTTTTTTCTAGCATTATTCTTTTGATATATGTAATTTGGTAAGTCCGACCTGTTGATAAACTGGAATAATCATCATGGCACTTCCCCACATGAATTGCTCTCCAAGATCATGAGTTTGAGAATCAGAAGTAAATTCAAAAAAAACCGGTCTTATAACAGTACCACCATGTAGAGCAACATCAAAAAGTAAGCTAAAAAGTATATAAAAATATAACCAATAAATACTTGATTTTGTTACACAGCTATAAATTTTAGGCATTTACTAATAGTAATTTTTGTTGACCTGTAGAGATATGGAAGATAATAGTATCGGAAAAAATTGGCCTGCTTAGCTGCTTTTGCAACATCGGGCCATTGAGATGGATCTTGATCTGGTTCATTCCTTTCATTGTGATTTCTGGAAAATTGCAGTTACAACTTTTTTATGTCTTTGATCTCTCAAATGATGTTTGTTGTTTTATTGAACCTTGAAAAGGGATAAAATGCTCCTAGTTGTTGCCATCGTAAACAGAGTTCTTCAGATGCCTTTCCATTGAATCCACATATATCCGCTCCAACATAAGGTATACCGAATAAATTAAATTCCTGGATACCAATAATGGAAGCTTTCAAGTCTATCCAGCGGGCACTATTATCACCAAGCCAATGACCACCGTAATGACCAGATGAGACAAATGTCGATCTAACATGAAATATAGATATGTTTGAGCTTTAAAATAGCTTAATTACATCTGCATAAATGTAAGTATCACATTAGTTCTTTTGCAAAGTTCGCATATTGCAATTCCATCAATAATTCTATAAGAATTCTTCAAAAATTAAGCTTGAAACGAAACTGAAAACCTTGAAATAATTGCTCCTCTTTTACCAGTTGCTGCATGTTGTGCCTTCTGAGTTAATATCATTTCTGCTAATCCATATAAATTTTTTGTATCATAAACTCTTTGGGATCCTCTGTTTGTTAAACCAGACATACATATAGTTTTATTTGATAAATGCTGAAGAAATATTTTTAGTACACAAAAATACGCAGTTTTCCAAATTTGTATAATAGAATTTTTCAAATATGATAAACAAATGCATTATCTTTAAACAGTAATGCGCTGTTGATATGATTACTGAAAAAGAAAAAGAATAACTTACAGATTCAGCAAAATTATAAGCATAAGTATTCCAGGTTTCGTACAATGGATTATCATATTTTGATTTAGCTCCATTAAAAGCGCATTGAAGTGGTGCTATCCTCACTGGCCTTTCTGGATCATCAAAGTAAAATGGATGATATTCATTTGTACCAAAAGCAGCTGGTTCATTCATATCAATCCAAATACCATCAAATGGCACCTTAAATAATAAATTCAAAAAATAAAAGTCTCAACAAACTACTGTTTAGTCTACAACAAAACAAATGACCATTTTATGAAAATTTTTAAACTCATCGATCCACCATTCTGCTGTCATAGGTTTTGGATCAAGAAAATCAGGAAAAGCAACATGCCAGTCTGGCCACACAACTGAAAGCATGATCTGAAAAAATAATGCATCTTCAATTTTCGTTACTAACATTCTAAACAAAATAATTTGCATTCATGCATGTTCATACTGTTCTTGATTCTTGATATTTGTCCAAATATACTATACTATGTCATAACTTCTTATGTCTGCTATTTGTCATGACAATTGAGCATGATCATTAATTTAATTTGTATTAATGAAACAAGAAAATTGTTACTATTCCATGAAAAACTAAGTTGACCTTTGTCTGTTTTGCTAAAGGGTATTTGTCTTGGATTTCTTGCGGTACTTCATCATAGCTTTCCCATTCAATGAAGCTTGCATTCTGAAATTACTATATTTGTCCAAATATACTAACTATGTTATAACTTTTTATGTCTGCTATTTGTCATGACAAAAAAAGATCGCAATTGGAAAAATGTTTGAGATCAAGAGAGTTATCATTTATCAAATGCTCACTTTTTCAATTGCCCTTTGAAAAGTTGGGTAATTGACCTGTACAGCGGGATCGAAAATTAAGATCAAATGCATTCCCTTTTTGTGTAATTCTTCCGAATATTCTTTCAAATCTGACCAGTATTCCTAAATGATAACGTGGATTAGTGAAACTTGAAGAATTAATATCTCATTTAAAACTTGAAGTAAATGGTATGTATCTTGAGGGATTTAGTGATCACTGATTTCAATCATATACTTTTATCACAACAAAACATTTGTTTATAATTAATATCCATAAAGAACATTATTTCGAATTTAAGAAAGTAATACCCTAAAAAGTAAAATTTGTCATTAATAAGCATAATATGAAAGTTATACTTTTCCAATAGTGAAATCTTTGTATCTTTCCATGTAGTCGATATCTGCATACGCAACATCTATTGGTATACCAGCTTTTTGAATTCTTCCAATTGCATCTTTCATTTCGGAGAGATTTCGGTAGCCATAACGGCAAAACTAAATCTGATTTTAGTAATTTGACAGATAATTAATTTTTATGCTATTTTCTGGAAAGTAATACAGCTTTCAAAGTTACATTGAAATAATATTGAAATTATAAAATACTTGAAATCCAAGAGCGAAGTAGGCTGGAAGAAATGGTCGACCAATATATTCATGATACTGCTGAATAACTTGTTCTGCTTTCGGTCCAGGAAAAAAAGTTATATCAAGTATTCCACCAATAGTCCGATATACTAAGTGTGGGCCAGGTCCTGTTGTTACTTCCTAAATTAAGCTGTCTACTATCGTCTTATTTTTGTCAAAAAAAAAAGGAAAAAATAAAAGATAATTTTACTTGTGGATTGCTATTCCAAATAAGTACACCATGTGCATTGTTATCTTTCTCTAAGCCAAGATAAAATGGATGTACTCCATACAAATTACGTTGCGGGTTTTCTGGATCAGGTGCTTGATCTCTTGCAAACATTGGCCAAGTTGTATAATTAGCAAATTTGTGCTAAATTGGATGGTTTTAGGTAGACAAAACTGATTACTAAGCACCTTTGATATTTTCGATCTCACAAAGTGAAGCAATAAAATTTAACTTTTCAAAATTGCATTATTCGTACTTTTAAACTAAGATGAACGTTTTCACCAAAACCATAAATTTTGTCACTTGGTAAAAGTGTTGCAATTTGAATATACTGATCCGAGAACAATAAACCACCTGAAAACTTATTCACTGCAAATTTAATTTTTATGTATTGAAAAGATTGCAAAAATACTTATTATTTTCTTTGCATGAAAAAGAATTGCATTCTTACCAATAGAAGTATCCCAAATTAGTTCTCCACTAGTTTTTCGACGAATGCGAAATGCAAAAATTTCTGATTCATTTGTTGTTTCAATTAATAGATGTTGTTTAGTATCACTACAAGTTCTTGGTAAAAATATTGTAGGCTCATATCTGAAATTCGTATTTTTAGTATTTTGTAATTATTATTATTGTTTGTAATTGCTAAAGTAATGCTAATAAATCAATAATCGTATAAAAAATATTATCACATTGGCAAGTTTAATTATTTTATAAAATTCGTGATTTTGATAAAAACAAAAGTAAAATTGATATAATCATATTGTTAGCAACTGAATACCTTCCTTGCACGCCAATACGAATATTAATAACTGAATAAGAATTTTTTATTTCTACTGTGAGTTCTGGTAGGTTTTCACCATAAGGATTTTGCGCTCCACTTTTTGCTTTATTTAATTTTAATGATGTTTGCAATTTTTCAACAACTGTATATCCTGTTTCTGCTGGAAAATAACAGAGAGGAACTGACTGATCCTGAAATACAATTTACGTCAAAAATACCAAGAAATTTTAAGGTTGAAAAGTTTTTTATGTATAAACATACGGCATATTCTTTATCATCCCAAATGCAACCATGAGATAAACAGTCAGCTTTGTTAGCTCCAGGTTTTGGCGAACAGTCAATTCTTTGGTGCGAAGGTACTTGTAAAATAGTACCTTCAATATGCTTGATATTATTTAGAGCAATGAAGAAAGGAATAATTACTGCTATCATTTTAAATTTTTCATAACTTTCTTTGCTCATCTGAAAAATTACATGTAATTGTATTAATTAGAATGATGTTTTTGTTTGCAAACTTGATCATCTCATGACTTCAGATAACAAATTTTATTTTACATTTCTTATTACAATATAAACAACGTCATTTTATTTAATTAAGATTCATCTTTCAATTCATCTTCAAATTATACAAAAGAACTTTACGTAATTTGATTATTTTTCGCTCGCAAATAATGCATGATATCATGAAATAACTAAAGTATTTATAGTAATAATTTATTGCTATTTTCTCTTTTAAAAAAGTGTATAAATGCGCAATGGTTGAATTTATTGTTTATTTACTCAAATTTCTACAACTTAATTAACTACAGAAGTACGAATAAATTCACATTTAAAAAAGGTTCATTATGCAACAAGTTGCTGAACTTGTACAACAATGCCTACTACGTCTATTTAAAAAAATGAATAGAACGTATTTCTTCAAGATAAAATGCAATTGACATATTATCTTAAAAAGAAACTTTAATATCGACCGCTCGTTGTTTGCAAGTTTAAAATAATAAACGAATGAAGTTGAGCTTAATGATTAGCTGCAAAGTCTCGTTGCAGCAAAATCCAAACAGCTGGTTAATGAAATATGAAAACCTTAGTATTATAGAAAAACACTGGAAATTTTTCAACTTCATTCACTACTTGAGGAAGGGATTTTTTGGCTAGAAGTTTTTTATGCTTGTTAAGAACGCAAAAAAGCATTGCCTATTTTAAAACTTTATACAATTGCTTAAATGCATCTGATTGAAGTCAAATATTCAAGTAAATAGGCAAGCAATATGTGTTGTAAAAATTTGTGGTCTGAATATTTTGAAATAATTATTATGATTATTTTAAATAATATTAATTAGAAATTTTTTAGATGAAAGAATAAACTTTAAACTGTAATGCGACATCATTACCAGTTATGTAAATAAATCGTTACTAATTTTTGAAATTAAAATTTTTGCATAAATTTGTAACTTATCCTTTTTTTTTTTAATATATTTAATAATTTTACTTGCTTATATTAAAAGTGATAAAGATTAGATCAAAATATTTTTTGATTAATGTCAAATTTTCATTGTAATAACAAGAAATATTTAGAAAATTGTGGATGATGATTTTATGAAGAAAGCAAATAAAATTTTACAAAATTAATCAAATGCTTCTGAAATGTCTGTTGCTGTTAATTTTTGAGTCATTTCATTAATATTTTCGAAATTTCATTTATTTCAATAAATTTTAACTTCAATAAATCTTATAATGTTAGATTTTAAAACTAAATTGAGTAACTTGGAGATAGTGCCAAGCATTATGATTAAAATCTTATACAGCTTTTAAAAAATTGTTTTATATTTTTTACCATTTGTAAAATTCAGTTTAGCAGCCTGCAACTAATGAAATATTGTTTTCAACTGATGAAAAGCAACTTACAGCTTAATATCATGTTCAGCTGCTTTTAAAAATTTTAGCATCATAAAACTTATATTGTAGAGAAAGTACTTGCCACTGTTGACTCCAATACTTAATTTTTTGAGCTATTATTTGAGTAATGATAATTGTGTCTCACAATGGTTTCAGTGTACTACTGCTGCATTCATATCATAAACATCACAAGTACACAAATTATAATAATTTTGTTCTTCAAATACTTCAACAACAAAGATTTTCAATAATAACAAATGCTGCATACAAAGTGAATGTTTTTGATTCATGGCAAAGTTTCTCAGAAAGCTGTATGTGTGTGTGTGTGTTTTTTTTTTCAATCACTTTTTCTTAAAAAAAAAATTCATTGCAGATTGAGTAAAGTATCAAGAAATTAGTTTCCTATGCGGTTACAAAATTAATTTTCACTTTTGAACGAAAGATTGATTCTATTTTCCGTCTGAATTCTGTGTTCATAATATAGTAAACAAAGAAGTTTAGTGATGAATTGATACAGGATAACCAGTGAATCGGTTCATAAATTTCCATTGGCTAAAAATTATTAAGTAAATATATAATAAAGCACTAAAAACTAAAATATAAGTAAACAAATTAAAAATTCTTATAAATATTAGTTTAACAAAATAATTCAAAACCAACAATTCGAGTAATAATTGCGGATATTATGGAAACAATATTTGGTACAGCAACAAATATACTTGATAAAAATCCAAGCGCTAAAACATAGCGAATTTTTCGCATTTGAATTTTTACTGCCCTAAACTATTAAAATAAATAATTAATACAAGCAAATTACGAAAAAATATTATGAACTTTGAAAACTTTCAAGTTTATCAATCATTTTTATGTGAGTGTTTTTAGCCATTTCAACAAGCTTTTTAAAATAATGTTAGTACTCTTTTTATCCTAAACAAAGCTATCTTGTCTATTATCTAAGTGGTTTTATTAGATACATATATAAATATTTCTTTACATTAAATTCATTACTTCTATTTACGATGATACTTTGCTAAATTTTATGATTTCTTTTTATATCAAAATGATTTATGGCTAGAAATTTATAAATGAATGATGAGCGTACCTCGTTTGCTGTACTTTTCGAGCGCTGTAGTAAGCAATTGAACTGAGGAATAGCGCAATGAAGTACCCAAATGTCTGAATGATAAAGTTTACTTACAATAAATATTCTGCAAAATTTAATATTTATTGGTAAAACATCAGATTTCACCAAATATTTTAAAACATACAACAATGTGCAATGTAATCAGATTTGCATTTAATAAACAAATAGACGGATTTTTTTTTTTAATCCATTTTGATGAAATTTAATCATGAAAAAGGCATGTTATGCTTAATAAAAACTAAATTAATGAATTTATGCATTAAAAAGTTGCACAGAGTAAACCTCAACAAAATAAACATAAAAAGTATATCCTCTTGAAAAGGTTGTTTTTCGACCACAATAAAAGTAAACGTCACGATCACTAGACGTGAGTACTATGATAAAACCGGCAATCAACGATATCACTACAAATAACAAACTGGCAGTGCACAGTTGAACGTCTCTAAAATTTATCAAATAAATAACATTTTATATTAAATTGAATAATTAATAATCATTACTATTTATATTATTAAATTTTTAAAAAAGTGATAAACTTGCAACTTTAGTAATTGTTTTTGTAAAAATGTACAGCTGATGCTTTCTTTAAAGAGTACACAAAAAATGTTTCTAAATGTATGTAGCTGGTTAGTATTTTGTGATACTATGCGATTTTTTATTTGTAGTTCAAGTTTTATAACATAAACTTGAAAAAGTTATGAAGCTATATTCAGTGAAAAATTTTGGCTCTCATAATAAATTTGAAAACTACAGGGTTTTTCTACATTCCTATCAAAATAATTACAGAATTGATTGGTATTTCAAGAGTCAATAAATCACTTAATCAGTTTCTGAGTCAGTTTTTAATTTGAAGCTCATTTCTGTTAAATTAAGAGGCACTAATTATGTAAGTTTGATTAACAAAACATGAATTACTTTATAGTGGAAACTTGAGCCTTCAAACGTTTTTGCAAAAAATCAAAAAAAATATTCTTGCAAGAGTAGTTTTTATTTCAAAAAGTAAGCCTTAAAATTTTATGACAGTCAATGAATGTTTATGATATTGAAATAGATAACGTATATTTAGTAATCTAAAGGTATTTTGTGAAAGTAATACTTTCAAAAATTTTCAAACGTTCTCATCACTTTTGGAAAAAGTAAGTAATACCAATATTTTTACTTCAGATATGACATGACATTTTATGAATTATAAAAGCTATGTAATTAAAAAAGCGACTTGATAAATCACAAAACTATGTTTTCACCAAAAAAACAAACTTATTGTCTAGATGACGTCGATGCCAGAACGGTTTCAGAATACAAGCTGCGCGATCTGCACCGATTGCTAATTGTGTAGCTGGTGGCCATAGTGTTCCAATTAATCGAAACCAAACGAATATTTTTTTTGCACATGAGGTCGATGTCTACAAAAGAAATCTTGAAATTTTTTTGATGAAAAATATGTCTAAATCCAATAAACATATCAACGATATAAATTTATTTAAAGTACCGAAAATACCTGTGGAATTGCATATCCATATTCAATAGCTTCCTTAAATAAGTAACGTCTATGAAATCCCATCAGTGATATTCCTAGGCAGTTAAAAAAGTCTCCAATCGCCAAACAAATAAATAGCTATAAAATGCTTTCAAATAAATTATCTTACAAATTAATCTTTGAGAATACAAACATTTTTTCAGTAATATTTGCAAATTTTCTGAAACAGTGCAATGAGATAGCGTTAGCTTTTGAGCATTTCTGCAAAGAATATCATAGTCATGAAATCAGAATAATCAGATAATTTTTTTAACTTTACTTTTAAAATTCTCAAGTAAATTGCATACATTTTGCTGCGTCCAAACATATGACAAAAAGGGATAAGATATAATAAAAAATTTTTAAAAAATAATTATTTCAAAAAAACTAAAAATTATTTTAAAGTAAACTTTGTCAATTTTATTTAAAAATAATAATAAACACCTTGTATCGTAGCCGAAAAATAGGAAAGGCTGAAAATACTGATAATAATAGCAAATTGATGATTACAGCGCAGACACCAATTAAAAATGTTATTGAATGCCATAGAACAGATTTTTGATAAATCACTGAATCCTCTTCTGTGATTAACAAATACACTGATGTATTATTCATTGTTTGTGATGGTATTATGAAAATCGAATTTCTTGTGTATCTTGTTAAATATTTGCTAAGAATCTTCAAAACTATTTTGGTCCTCACCAAATTCTTAATATGCGAGTAAAATTTTTCACGATTTTTTAATTTAACAATAATAATGAAACTAAATAATTTCGTCAATATATAGCCATTTATTCTTATTGTAGATAAATAAAATTATCAAAACTCGTATCAAATTTCTAATTGAAAGTTTTCAAAGCATTAAAATCAAAACATTGTTTTGATAATACCAATTATTGCATTCTAACATCTTAAAATAAAGACTATTAATCTTTCAAATCTTAAAAAGCATTTTAAAAGTATAAAAAGAATTAACCTAAATTTTTATGCTTATAATTTCAAGTAACTCAATAGCGAACTAGCTAATTCGGTATAGAAATGTATTGAATTTTTAATAAAAATTATCTATACAGCAATCAAACTTTTAATATCATATCTTAACTGATAAAATTAAAAAAGATTTCAGTGATTTTATCTATCACTGTTTACTAAAGACGTGAATGCGTCATTTTGAAACATAACGCTTCATAATGATCAGCAAGTATCAAGCATTCTGTTATCAAAAAAATGTCATCCTTTTTTTGCTTGTAGTGATAGATTCTAAATCTTATTCTTTTTTAATTTAATGCAAGTGAACAATAAATACTTTTCTATGAATGTACAAAAAGTTGATAGAAAATGGAAATAAAAATAAAGATATAGGTAGAAGTTGAACGTTGAAAAAAAGTATTAATTTGTGCCGTGAATGAATTAAAATGACGCTTACTGCAGACGTATTATTCCATCAAATATAATTCGCGCAGTTTTTTAATAATAAATGATTACATTTTGCAAAAGAAAGATGAACAATATTATAAAGATTGATAAATTTTGAAACGCAGTACCAATGTTGAGTATAATTTACTAATGTAGTAATTAATATTTAAGAATAAAAAATAGATAAGAATTGAAATAAAAAATAAAATACAAAAATGAAAAATATTAAATGTAAAAATTAGTTGATATGATCAAAGTTTACTTTTTACATGTTCAAAGGTGTGACACATGCATCGTACTCGTAGAACCTGTTTGACGATAATTGCATTTGAAGTAAAATTGATTTAAAATTCTTTTTCATTTTATTCATGCCAAAAAAATGGTTCAGTAGCCAAATTTTTGATTGTTTATCTCAAGTAAAGCATGATTCTTCAATTATTAAAGATATAAAAGTAATTTCGATGATTTTTTCTGCGCTAACAAGGACGTAAACGCATTGCTTTAATTCATCAAGATAGAAGTCTTGCAGTTATCAAAGATTCTGTTTTTTTTTGCTTGTAATGCTTGTAATGGCTAATTCCGAAATTCAATTGCAAGATTTTATTTCATTTTTTATTGATGCTGCATTGAAAAGTTCACAAAAGAGATCCAATCCAAGATTATTCAGTAAGAAAAAGCCTGAACCCAAACTTAAGATAAGTGCTGAATCTATTTTCTTATCTATCTTGAAACTTCTTCAGTTATGCAACAAACTAATTACTCTTAACAAATTCTTATCAATTTCATAGTAGTTTGATCATAAAGTGATATTCAAAGCAAAGTAACATTGCTTTTAAAGACTGTTTACATCATTCAAAATAATTGAATCAAATTCTTCTTATTAATTTTTAATTTGAAAACACAATACTGTAGCTAAACTCATTATTCAGTAAAAAAAAAGCCTAAACCTAAACTTATTCTCACAAATAATCATGCCAAAAGTTGTAGCATTATTTATTCACATTATAAACAGAATTAAAGCTACCTGCTCATCTTTAACTTGTTAGCAACTTTGAATGCAAGCAAAATGATTACATATTTCATTTCAAAATATATAATGGTATTGATAACACAATTTATTTCTTGAAGACAGTAGTAATTCAGAATCTTATCTTTTCTTTAATTAGCAGCTTTTAATTCTATAAATCACAGCCAGAAGAACGTATGTGATAATATTTATCACGTTGTGTGCAAAAATTATGATTCTTAACACTTTACCTTGCTTTCAGCTGTAAATTTTGGAATAATTTGCAGAAATAACTTTAATGAAGTGCATGATCTCCTTAAAATAGCAGTTTACTGAAGTCAGCGTGCTACAAACTTCTGCTACTTGATACACACTTGGAAGGTATTTTTGTCTTATAAATTGATGTCAGAACTAAAATAGGCAAATTCTTCAACCATTATCATAACATGATATGCAACTGTCTCGTCAAAATTCTTGCAAGTTTCTAACGCTTTAATTTAATTTCAAATGTTGTAAGTTGTACTTGGTACATTTTTCTTGATGGCATTATTACATGTCATTAGATAGATATTGCAAAAATGATAAAAATGATACTTAGTATAATATAAAAGCTGATGTGGAATTAGATGATACTGAGGATCAATGTTATTTTTGTAAAATACAAGGCCCAAGAAATTCAGGAAGTAGAATGCAGTAATGATGCAAGACAAAATCAGAATTTCTTATTTCAAATGACCATTAAAATGGACTTTTAGCAAATATATGCTTATTGCAAAAAATTAACTTCTCTCTTCTGAAAATGTTTATGGTTATATGACTCTTTTGCAATATTATTTCAAAAATGCTGTAAGATATACTCATTATTTTAGTACTTATCGATAATACAAAATTTCCACCTGCAATGCGTGTTTGACCAATCTTAGTACTACTAAGACCACAACTTTGGAGCTTTAATATACCTCATAGCACATTTATTGAAAACAGGTGTTCCTTGACCCTAACCAACATTCTATACCAAAGCATGTTGTTCCATCAGCAAACCATCCACCACATGGTAGCATTAAAGATCCAAATATCACACGAGTCACCAACATTCCAGCTAATATAAAATATGAAATGCAAAAGTACCCATGGTTTTTCTAATTGAGAAGCATACACCTCTAGTAAGCATTTTTTCTTGTCTTGCGATGCAATTGTTTCTCCAGCTCTAGCGACCAGTGCTTCCTCCTTACCATTCCATCAAAATCACTATTACAAATTACGACGACAGTAGCATATCGAATCAAAACCGTATAGTTACATTTTTGAGAGTGAAAATTTCGTAAGCGTTAAACTGTGATTTATTAGGTGTGGGATATTCATTGCGACCTTTTTTAGTACAGTATGCTTAAGAAAATTTGGAGTTAGAAGGAAATTGGCTGCAGAAGAATAGTTGCTGGAGAAGAGATTAAGAAGTACCATTTAGTTTGTATTTCTGTAATTATATCTATTTTAATGTATATTTTCCTTTTTAAAGCATCAATTATCAATCATAATCATAAAAATGATTATCTGAGCTAAGGTTTTGCCATAATTAGCTTGGAACGTTTATTATAGATAAAAAATTTTCAAGACTTTGTATGTATAGTGTTTGTGGTTTGAGAAAAATGTAATCCAGCAAAGCTTTTCAGTACAATTTCCCTATTAGTATCAGATGGATATAGCTAAACATTCTGCGTCATTTCAGATAGTGTGAATGAGACTGAGCTCTTTACGACGAAAAATGGGACTCATTGATACAGATTTACGCGCTATCATCCAGCTTGGCTTCGCCTTTATGTTGATTTTCTCCGCATTCAACTGCCAAGGATTTATTGAGGTTTGAATATTCTAAGTTTTTATTATATTATGTTTTTGTTGAGTTGCGTGAGTTTCTTGCTTTCTTTATCCACTTTCAGATAACTATTTTAAAAGATGCAGCTGAGAAACATCCGTCTTCTGGAATCACCAATCAGTCTGGCTATTATAGGTTTTTTAATACGTATCTCACTTATAACATTTTTCGTTTCTATCACCATCTATTTACCAAAGTTGTGCTATTAATGTTACATACAGATTTGTGCGTAATCAGAAAAGTCAAAAGTGTTCTGGAAATCAGCTTCTACCAGTTTGACTCCCTTTGCTTGTTTACTTGTTATCGAAAAACTCATGTTAATTTCATGCTGATCATAGGAAGTTTGAGTCATTCAGACAGTTTGGTATAATTTTCCTTATTTTTAGTTGCTTATTATTTAGTACGAATTCAAAATATAAGTAAACTGCATTGAGTTTTCAGTACAGATTATATTAATATCTTAATTTCATATATCAAAAGGTCATATTTTTGTACTTTTCAGTTTAGCGATCATTTATCTAACTTTCACATTTTCAAATTTGCTTGCGCCAGCAGTCATAAATGTTGTCACTTCGAAATGGGCAATGGTTTTCGGAGCTTTCACGTACTGCATCTTTATGCTTGCTTTTATATTTCTCAATTCCTATTCGCTCTATATTTGTTCGGCGCTTACAGGTCTCGGTGCTGCAAGTAAGGCATCTCAAAACCATTGGTTTTTATTTCGGAGTTAAAAATTTTCCAAATCCATTTTAACAAGGCTGATTTTAGTATTATGGACTGCACAAGGAGCCTATCTCACTTCTTGGTCTCGAATAGATTCTATAAGTCGCAATAGTGGTATTCTTTGGGCAATGCTACAGTCATGTTTTATCTTTGGTGGATTTTTTCTGTTTTATATTTCTCTTACAAGGTTATTAATTTTATCATTCTTTCCAATTTTAGTCCAAATTTTTTGTTCACTCAATGGTATTTCTTATAAAATTAATTTATTTAAAATGGATAAGATGTTGAGTAATTTAGTTGTACCATTTTGATGTAAATCAGTAGTTTGTAAGTTAACAGCATTACATATAAGTCTATGATAATGTCATCTTATAAGAATGCAGTCTTTAGCTCGATCGTCACCTCTGTCAAGTTGATATACACGACATTTTCTGTAATAACTGCTATTGGAGCACTGGTGTTAGCATTACTTCCATCTAAACAAGATACAGTGCAATGCTCGACTCAAAACAATGATGAAAACGGAGTGCAAGAGGGGAGCGATATCAGTATTGTCGATGGTCGGATAAGTTTCGAAACAAGATCAGTACGGGGAACTGTAGAACCCTATACAGTGATTTTGTGGAAAGATGAATTTCGTTAGTTCCGTTTTCTTCAATGTTTGAAACCAAGTTTTCTAATGTTTGTTTGACTGAAATTAAAATATCTACATGCACTTGTTTCCAATTCGTTGTGCATAGAAATTGTAAAGTATCAGTTCAGCTTTCAACTTTTTGTACAATAATTTGAGGGAATTGCTGTTTAAAGGTAGTACACTTTATCTTGCAAAGACCAAGAAAATGTTGCTTCTGGCTGTGGTATTCATGTTCACGGGCATCGAAATGACATTTTATACTGGTGTTTATTCAACCTGTCTTGCAGCGTTTGAAAGATTAAAAGATAATGGATTAATCATTGCTTATAATGCTCTTGCTCTTGGAGGAGGACAAGTCACTGGTAAAAAATTTGCATAAGTTTCCTTCAAATTTTTTATTCTGATTTAAATTCTGTCCATTTTAATTATTCTTTCATGATGCAGGCGGTCTTGCTTTTGGAATTTTCGCAAAACAATCAGTTGCTTATGGTCGTAATCCAATAATTCTTCTTGGCACTGTTGTTCATTTAATAGCCTTTGTTCTCATTTTTTTGAATATTCCAATGGAAGCACCTTTGCATAAAACGGATTCGTTTGGTTACATTGAGCCAAAGTAAGTTTAATATAACTTTCGAAGATTTATCTGGGATTTTAAATTGTATAAGGCTTCATATACTTTCATCTTTGTTGAGAACTCTTCCTGAATCATAAGCATTATCAGTCTTTATTTTATAGGTATATTCGCACCATTAGTTCAATTATTTTTTTCCTTTATTGTCCAATTAGGGCATTTTTACGCAAATGAAATGTGTCTTTAAATTTCAGCTACTATATCGCCTTAATTTGTGGTTTCATGCTTGGTTTTGCCGATAGCTGCTGGAGCACCCAAATTTATTCTCTTCTCAGTTCACTTTATAGCATCAACTGTACAAATGCTTTTGCTCTTTTCAAATTTTATCAGGTATGGTGAGTTTAAGAGAATTTACTATGTTTCATTCAGATAGTTAAGACTTGTGATATAATATAGTTGTACATTTTTCTTCTGAAGTTAAAATTTACAAATACTTGTTTTAAGCAGCTTTGTATCATCATTCAAAGGATTTTAAGTGACTTAGGAGTTTAAAAAGTCATAAACAAATTTTAGATCACATAAAATAATTACTCGCTTAAATCATTTTATATCAATGATCAACAAAATGAAGGGACAGAGGGAATGAATGTAAAAAATCTGTAATGAAATATAATTTAAGTGTCTGTTTTGGTTTGTATTTATGACGTTTTGCTTGTAGTAGTATAAGGGATAATATGTGGGTGATAAAAATCCAGAATTTAGTGTGTGTATGATTTTCTTGTAAGATATAAAGTATATTTTTCTTTAGTAATGCAGAATTTCATTATAGAAACCTTGAGAATCAGATCATGAGAGTTTACTGGAAGAAGTCATGTTAAGTTTTATTTAGCAAAGTTGTAGAATATCATTGTTTTCAGTCATTAGCTGCATGTGCTAGTTTCTATTATGGTTCTATTTTATTACTACATTGGCAGTTATTAATACTCGCTGTGACTGCTGTATTAGCTGCACTTTGCTTTTTTCCAGTGGAATGGGAGGCCGTGGCTTTTACCAGCCTTCCACCAATTTTTACACCTTCATAATGTAACGAAATAATTTTATCTATTACAAGTATCATTTTTTTAAATTAATTATCATGTACTTAATTCTCGAGGTTTTATAAGCAGAGGTTGCAGAACGAATTATTCATTACCAGACTTTCTGTTACTTTCAATCATTTCAGTGCAATTTTTTCATAAGTAAAAATTAAGTAGATACATATGAAAAAATAATCTCATTTCTATGTTGGGAAAGGGATAAAAATTATTGATATCGCAAAACAACGTTTTATCAAATTTTTATTATTCATCTGATTAATATTTGCATTCGTCCTTTATGTGTAGTAACTGAAATGTGTAAAATTTATCGTTAAGTAGTCGATGTATCTAGCATCATCTTTTATGAATCACTGTAAAGTAAGGAAGGTTGGCAAATTATGTTTTTTCCATTCTTGCATTGTTTTTGCTAAAGTAATATGTAAATTCTAGTTCAGATTTCTCTGGTAACAGAAGTTTTTGGCAGTGGTAAAGTGAATGCAGTTGGATATCTTCATTTGGAAGTAAACTCAGATAAATTTCCACAACCTAGTTGAAATCTTTCAAAATTAAATGTCTTTCCATTTTTTTAGTATTTATCTTCATTTTTTTTAGGTGGATTACTGTCCTACATTTTTTTTATTCCAATTTATTTAATCACTTGTCCGGGAAATGCATTATTTCAATCATTAATTTTATTGGAATGTTTTTTAGTGCTGATTTTAGTCATTTTGTGTGCTGCTTAACCATTGTCATTTATGTTATTGAGTTAAAAGATTTTTAGGGGAATGAGATTGTGTTTTTAGCAATTATACATGCATGTGCGTTTAATTATTTGTAAAATAATTTGATAAATATGAATTAAAATATGATGCAGGTCTTATTAATGAGATAACAATAACTTGGAGACAAATTTTCCATCAACTTACAACAAGGCACAGATTAACTCATGCGTACGATTATTTTTCGTTCATAGTCACTGTAATCTGGCCAGGAATTGCTTAATCTCGGGGGATATAGTGTGTTTGTTTCGTACTGTGTTCAGTCAGTCGAAAGTAGTTTTGTGTAAGTCTAACAAAAAATGCAAGTCTGGAATTTTAAAATGAAGGGGTTTTCATTCCGACATCTTGCACGTGAACATTCTGATAAAGTATGACGAGTGAAGGGTTGCGTAGTTTCGACAAATTATGTATGAACTTTTCACGGTTCGTATATGGTTGTCGATGGCTATGTTGCTTAAGCACTTCTAATTTTGGATCTTCATTCACTGTGGAATGTCTATTTTAAAAGCAACCTCAACGGTGACTGAAAAAGTTTATTGTTAAAACCATTCTTCAGGTATGTGGTGTCAACAACCTTCTAGACCATGTTTTGATTTTTGATATCTATATTTCCGGGATTGTAGAATACTTCAATTCAGTGCATGCTTATTTATGAACTGAAACCATGCTGTCATAAATTCTTCGATTTTTACAAATCAGGAGTTTGTATTAATTTGGTAGAAATAAGTACTAGTGGTCAATCATATGCTGTTTGGTGAATGCGTTCAGCACTATCTCGCTTTTGATTAAGAAAACTACTGAAGATAATTTCGAAAATGCGGCAATACAATCATAAACAAACGTTTTCACTAATCAAATCATATGGGACGTTATTTAAAACATTTTTAAGGATCAGATAATTCTAAGTCTAGTTATATGAGCCTCATAAGTTCCTGCAGAGACCAAAAGTTATCGACAAAATTTATTGTTCGATCAACTGTAGATCCTTACCACTTTTTGCCATTTATTCAGATTGATTGGGCGAAGAGGCGTTTATATCTTGAAGCATTCCTTCCAATAGATACTGTTCAAGTCTGAAGCAGCTGCCCACCGTTTTTTTCTTTAGTATCCAGCAAATATGATGGTATGACCCTCAGTATTATAAAATTAAATATACATCACAGTATCCATCTGTTATTGACCTTTGCCTTCTGGGATATGGTTAAATAGTCTGGCTTTGCCTGTTTACTCTAAATGTCTATTGAATTACAAAGCGCCATTTCCTATCTATTTCCTATAATCAGTGTGATAGGTCAGGGGGGAAAAATACCAGGCTCTGGGATATGACGAATGAAGGACCACGTTATGAATAGAGAAAAAGAGAGGGATTGAGTGACCTTTGACACACATGGTACTGTGACAGAGATAGAAAAATCTGCAGGTTAGGAAGTGAGTTGCTTTCTAGAAATTATTAGAGGGTCAACAGTATTTGTCATTTTTACTGTTTGCCTGTTTCGTGCTCGCTTGCTCACAAAATGCGGAAAGAAATTTACAAATCACAGTTTTCTTGGTTGCAGTACCTGCTGAAGCCTCTAAGGTAAGTTATCGTTTATATTTATCGCTTTATCTTTTCTACTTGAATAACAAAGATGTATATATGATAGCGTTTTTGTTGAGAAGATATAATATGATTAAAATAACTATATGCACCTGATATTCTGAAATTGGTATGTGTAATTTAGTTGTCGAAATGCTTCTGCTCTTTCTATTCACATACAACTTCAAGCTTCAATTCTTTAATACAAGCCTAATCTGTTAAATGCATATAAGAAATATTTATGAACTATGCAATTATTCATGTTGTGTGCAAAATTCTGTCTTTTAGTTCTCTCTTCAAAATGAATTTTATGGAGATGAATCAAGAATCGACGAATAACGTCACTTTTGCCGTCAGCGCAAATGCGCCAGGATACCAACCCATTGAAGAAGTGCAATCAAATCATGCTATGCAACAGGAAACTAGTACTACTGGTCATTCTATCTCATTTCATACATCAATTTCACTGCAGCAGCAAGCACCACCTCCTCCACC